GTGAAGTTCAAGTTCACACCCGAAGAAGGCTCCACAGCCTGAAACGCTGTGTTTCCTTTCTTCTCTTTTCGGCGTGGAATAAACCTTTACTTGTTCATATCATATGGTCTACAAGGGGTCAGGCACTACAAGGGGAGATCATTTGGATGATTAGGCTCTTAGGAGGCCAAATTCATATTGTCCTAAATTTCTTTAGCATTCACATACAGTGGTTCCTTGCCATTTCTGAACATATCTTACAAGCTACAACAAAGTAATTATAATCGCACGGTATATTTCAGATTTAGTTTCTGTGAAATACAGAAACCCCCTCCCTCAAGGACAGATGAGCACTTTTAAGTGCCTCCAGAATGGGAGTCTGCAACGTAATGATCATGCCATAAAAAAGAAACAAGGAATCATTTCTCCCTTAGCATTCAAGTTCCTATTCCTATTGTTAACATCAGCTAAATATTGGTATTGAAGCCTCTCTAAAACATACAGTACATGGAAGAGGTCAGCCTCCCAGTTTATACAGGCAGGTGGAGGCTGACAGACCTGTCCGCAGGGGGTCAGCATGGGCCTGTGCTGCATGACGGAGACGTTAGTAAAGATACTACCATCTATTCAGGCTTCAATTCCCAAATGCACAAATTATTTTTACAAAACTGACCTTGTGGCAGAAAAAAAAACGGTGGTGACGTACACAGTTTGTATGCGAATTCAGTCTTATCAAAATTCTTCTATGCAGTTTTCAGACTAACAAGACTAACTAATTAACATGAGGAAATATATATATATTACAATACATTTCTAAAGAAATATCAGCTCCTTCAGATTTATTGGTTAACATGCAAGATAGAAACACGGAAGAAAGACAGGTTTTACCATTCCATTTAATTGGTGTCATAAACAAATCTGTTTGCTATTTCGGTGAACGTATGGTTCTTAGGAAAGCCCTTAGCTGTAATACATAAACTGAAACTATATTTAGCGAATTTGTATATTGTATTGTTTCCTAAATCAAATAATTGTTTCTTGTTTTAAGACTTATTTAATGGTTTATCCCCCTACAAACTAATGGTCCGGTCCTGTCGCCTTGGAGACGGGAATAAACAATTTGGACCCTGAGTTAATGCGGAGGTAATGTTGGAAGGTTCTATGTAAAGTATAATTATTTCAATTTTTGTCTTAAAGTTTAATCAGATTAATAAAGAGAATATATGCTTGTTGTATTAGTAGTTGTGCTGAACTTTACAGATGCCCCGAAGGCTAGTTCGTAATGTTTATTGGAACCAGAATTATTTTTTATTTGGGTAGTGTTTTCAAAAAAGGTCGTGGCTTCATTATTACCGCAGCATTTATTTATAGCTGTTTTAGTGCTTCTGGCCTATTCTATGAAGTGTACCGTGACAGATTAGTGCGTGTTTGGTATGCATTAAATGCAAACTAAAGAATCATGGAGACGACCCCTTGAAACTAGTGCATGTCATTCATCGCGCAGTGAACTACAACGCCTGTGATTTGTTGGAATGACGCAATGACATTTAAAAGCGTGTGCAAGGTGTAAATGAACAGGTAAAATCGGTGGTCGGTGAGAAACCATCAAATTAAAACCCAGTCTGAGGCCGCATTTTAAAATTGCGATTCCGGGGGGAAGCTGCGTAGTGTGGTAAAGTAGAGTCAAAACATGGTAAAACCTGTGCAGAATTTTGTGCTTATAAACATTTCTTAGTTTAGCTGTATAACACAGTATTATATAAAACCACAGACGGATAAACGCATTATTGTATGGGCATGGTGAAAGTTTTGGAAAACTTGGAAAGTACGTAATTGTATAGGCAGGGTGAATGTGGCTTTGGAAAATTTGAATTTGCCTCGGTGCAAATTTGCTTTTGTTGTTTTTGTTTTTCAGGTGCAGGCTAGGCCGGGCTGTACTGGATCAGAATGGACGCGACTGAAACCCGGCCGGGTTCGGGAGGAGAGATGTCAGCGGTTTCTGCCGGACACACGCCACTGCAGAGCGGATGGACTGACGATGACCAATCTGCAGGTTAACTAGAGCTGCCGTCTTCGTCTCCTGCTGCTCAGTGATCTGTGGGCACTAGTCTAGAAAGATAACCCTTCTTTCCCTTTACTACCTTGCAACGTTTAATGAATAATATGGATGGTATATATAAGGTGTGTGTAGTGAAAATTTGATCAGAAATTCATTTTCAAGATATCACTGTGAAACTGAAAAAATAAATTCAAGTTTTTTTTTTTGAGGGGGGGGGTACGTGTGGAGTTTGTGCTTTCTAAAAAATGTAATCATTCTAGAACAGAGACATTCATAATAGTTTTGGCTACAAAGTTTTTAAAAATGAATATGTGGCATCATCGCTTATCCTATACAGTACTTATTAGAATCAATTATTTAGGTGGTAGAGCCTAATATGAAAATAATTGGATGTAATTATATCAGTCATTACAAAAGGAAACAGACGAATGAGTGAAAAATACAATTTTTGGGAAGGAAAATAGATTATTATTGTGTCATTTTTGGAAAATGTACTACTACAACTTTTATCTTTCAAGGAATTTGAAACCTGCGTTTCAAAAGTCTATTAGAAATACTGTCACCCATGAAAGAGGCACAGAAAAAAAAGCGAATTTTTTAATGCTGCAAGTTTTGGAGGATTATGAAAGTTTAAGCCACTGAATTAATGGGGAATATGCTAATTATTCAAAGCTGCTTATAAGCCAATTAACTGCTGAATACTTTCTAACAATGTTCAAGATATCTTTGTGCTCTTGCATCTACACAATGTCTCAGTTTTTTTCTCATGTGTTTCATTGCTTCTTGAAACAAATGATAATTGTTTCCTTTGCAGTCTGGCAGAGCCCATTCCCAGAGTTCTCTTTCCTTCCTAAATTGTCTTTTAGCGCTTGAGCAGTCCGCAAGATGTTTTGTTTTTTTTTTACTATTAGATTGTGCTGTTGAGAGCAGTAACATTAATTTGGGCAATCACTGTGACGTCTGGGAGCTATGGCAAAAATACTAAGGCTGTATGTAGCATGTTGAGGAAAAGGATGATGCAGTGAAGAAAATAATACAATAAGAAGTTGAAATTGTCATGCTTATTAATAAATCTCAAACCCCAGCCAGGTGTCGGCTTTGTTTATAATGTAATACATTTGCCCAAGGTTAATCAGTAATGCAATCATAAATTGTAGAAAGACCTCATAAAATTTCCACAATTCAACAAATTATTTAAATGTAAAATAAAATAGCAGTGATGGAACCTATCATGGAATTTGCAGCTGCGGTGTTCTGTTTATTATTTTAAAGAGTATTTTCCTTCAATTAGACATTCCTTGGAAATAGATACTGTACAGTAGTTGCTATATATACTTGCTACCAAAATTCTGGTTGCCTGTTAGAAAGTAGTACACTTACAGTAAGCAACCTAATGACTTTTTGTGGACAACATACTCTCTGATGTTTCATAAATCTTGTTGTTTATCTAGGTCTTTCTTTAAAAAAAAATCATACTTTAGCTTTTATAACTGGTTCTCTGACTGTGTCCTGATTTTTGTAGCAGTGTGTTTACAATAAGTGCTTCAGGGAAAAACCACAATTGCTGCATCTCAATAAAGGAGTTTTTTTTTTTTACATTGGCTAATTAAATGATTTTTTTTTTGTTTCAAGATGAGGAGGCTGACAAGGAAGGGTTCCGAGATGAAGACACATTGTTTCCTACATCTGCAGATGAATTTGGAGGTTTCAGCTCCTCCTCTAGCTGGTTAGTGTGATGTGGATGCATGGGATTTTTGGAATGTCAAATTGGGATAAAGAATGTGCCCAAAATCTGCCACATTTGTAAACCTGTTCAAATTCTTGTTATAAGTGGAGAAATACAGGTCTAGTTAATTTAACAAAGATAAAGAAAGTATAGTGTAATGCACTGTAACTTATTAAATTAATTAAGCAAGGCAGGAAGTTCAAGAGGTGATGGAAAACAGTAAGCATGCCTATATAATTAACTTTATTGTTGGTCTCAGAGGGAGACAGAGAGATCATTATTTTTCTTTCTTTTATTTTAAGTATTTTTTTAGTATTTTAAATATCTAATAAATAACTTGTGGTATTTGGTGTATAAGTCCATAGATAAGCATCTGTACTTAAAATATCACTTGTTTTAGTCTTATACTGTATATACTGTATAAATGTATGTGGCTTAAAGTATTGATGAATGAAGCTGAGATGTAATCCAAACAATGTTTTGAGCAGTTACCTTTAAAAGTATTATTTTTTGAGTGTATACTGTAAGTTATGTCTTACACTATAACCTAATACACTTTTTTAACCATTGCCCAAAACATAAATATACAATTTAAAATAACATGTAACAGAAGCTAAACTGAGCATACTCTTTCCTTTTAATTAATTACAGAAACATTATTTGACCTTCATGAACACCATATTCCACTTTAGTGTCTGTAAAAAATAATAATAAAGCTCTAGTAGTTACTGCTAATTCCGTGTCTTCTGTCTGAAAGGGAAGAGGAAGAGGCTGATCTGACTGAAGACCAGGACCGCAGTAAAAAGAAGAGCTATGCTGAGAGAGTGAGGATATTCAAGCTGCGAAGAAACCTGGACCAGCTGGACTCCTTCTACAAACAGAAGGAGCACGATGTCCTGAAAGCCAGGTTTGTTTCTATTAGAAATTAGACTTACATCAAGAACAGAACCCTGGCAGCATCTACTCCCTTTCTGGACCAGCTCAGAACAGAAGGTTAATTTCCACATCAACTGGTTCATCTGTTAAAGCCCTTTTTACTTTACCAAAGAAATTATCATGCTATATTTCTACCTTTATTATCAGCCCAGATAGGACACACTTACAAAATAATACGCTTCCAAGTCTGTGGAGCTGTGTTTCGATGATCATGACTACGCTAGGTTTTCACTTTAGCGATGTAGTGTAATGCACTGTAGTTATTAACTAAAGAAATTACGCACTGCAGAAATTTCCTGGGGTAATTGGAAACAGGCAGTGTGTCTGTCAAATTTAACTTCCTCGCTGGTCTCAGAGGTGGCAGGGAGATCATCATTTTTCTTTCCTTTATCTGTATTTTTACTTTTCACCCCAGTGGCAGATTGCAGTGATGCAGCTCATTTGATGGCAAAGATAATTCACATTAGGAGGCCTGGAGCTGATCTATAGCAGTGATTAGAAAAGCTGTGTGTAGGGAGCTGGTGCTCTCCCCATGCCAGTGCACCTTCGTCTGCTCCAACCCGGGGCTATGAAGTGTTCTAGCAAGCGTGTCTCTCTTACTACCATGCAGCAGCTGGAATGACAAGAAAATGTTAAAACTGGCATCTACAGTATAGTGCATAGGAACTGTATGGTGACGACAGTAATGCATTCCCAGACAGAACTTATTCCCTGACCGCGGATTCAGCAGGATTCCCTTGACTGGATGGGTAGCCCCCCTGTTTCTGAAATTAATGTTTCAGTCTTGTGTTTGGGGGTTTTATCAGGTCAGTTTAACTGCTTACCCCTGCATGGAACGTTACAGTGGTAAACAAATATAGAATTATCAAATTAAAAGTAATTATTTAATAATACCTGAGATGTAACTGCTTTTTTACTTTGTTTTTGTCTGTTCTTCTGCAAAATTGAGCTTATTCATTTGTATTGAGACCTAATTTATGTCATTTGAAATGCACCATTTTTTAGGACAAAAATAGCTTCGCGTTGTTGCTGTACCTGCTGTACCTCCAGAGCGAGATAATCCAAGACAGAACTGGACCCCATACAGAGTTAAAGACTGCTGTCTAAGCCTGCTCAGGACATGCTGTCTTGTGTTCCTGCCTTGGCTCTGAGACCCACAGACCGACTGTGACTGTCTTTGTTGTAAGGGAGGAACTGAAGGCGTGCCGGCTACGTATCGCAGAGCTGGGGAAACAACGAGACGTGGTGGAAAGAGATATTGAGGAGCTGAAAGAGTCTGAGAACACGTAGGTAGACACCTGGAAATGCTCGACCACCAAACGTCTCACACACAGAGGAGCTACTACTCTAGAACTGTTGTTATAAAAACACTGTAGACTGGAAAATAGATGGCTTTCAACAAGAGCTTCATACTTAATTGAGACCAGTCATTATACTTTCGAAAAGCTTTATATGATTAAATGGTGTGTGATGATAATGGTCAAGCTCATTCTTGAGGAAATGAGAACCTTCCAGGATGTTATTAGGCAATTAAGAATGAAATTAATTTAATGTTTTTAAAAATGTCAGTAATGTTTATACGGGAATGCAAAAAATCTTTATTTCTCTCATTTCTCTGCTGTGTACCTTCTGATAATGTATTCTCTTCATGGGTTGCAAAGCTATTAAGGAGGTGTGCAATGGGCTACAAGACAGGTTAACTGGATTTTGTTATCCATTCACCCCTTTCATTGCCTTTTTTGCAGGCGGCTGCCCATAATGCACCTGCAAACCTTACTTCTAACCCACTTCCAAAGAGAGCTACTATGACACAGTTTCCTTGAAGAAGGTCTTTTGTAGTAAGCATAGCAAGTGGCACTTTGAGAGCTTTCTTATACACTTAACAGGCTGTCAGCTCCCAATGGCAAGTGATATGTTATAAAGTGAAATTGAATTACGCTCTGTACACAAGCTGAATGCAAAAGTAGTTTTTCTGCCTCAAGGTATTCTAATTGTTCCCCATTTTACAGAGTTTAAATATTCATCTTTTTTTACTTTTATGCTGTTATTTTTGTCCTGTTTCTCAACAGTGCAGCGTTGTTCCGCCTGCGGGCCCTGCACAAACGACTTTGCTCAGAGCTCCAGGGGGAAGAGGACCTTGAGTCACAGATAGAAATGGCATTGACACAAAATGAGTAAGTCAAAGGGGACGAGAATCTTGATTTTTCTCTTGGCTCCAACCAGGGGCTGGAAATCTGGCTTTGTGTTTCTGACCCTAAGTCTGAGAGAGTATTGCAATACCCATAACCACCAGATCCATTTCTTGTATAATTGTAACTCTGTTTTTGTTCTTTTTTCCACACATTCTGCACATATTCTGCAAGAAATCTCTTCTGTTTCTAGGGAATACGTTTTGGATTTTGAGACCATCACTTTGATATTGTGCTTAACAGAGGAAGCTACTGTAGTGGGAAACTTTAAGATCGTGATATACATTTTAATGATCATAAGAACAGATTTCACTAGGCAATTATCCCTCACAACACAAATGTTTGTGCAGCTGCAACTGTATTATATTATTCAGGACCAACTATCTCAAGAAATTAACAAACTTGAAGTGAATATTGAGTGTAAAGAGGAAGTTTCTCAGATTTTTTTATAGCCAAAGTTAGCTTATTTACATTTGATGTGTATTTTAATTAATTTTAAGTACAATTGCTTATATATTTTGGAAAAAGAGAGCTTCTTGTAGTCTAACATGCAGCTGTTTCTGTTCAATTACCCCAAACTTTTCTAAATGCTCATATTTGATGAGGTTTCAGACATCATTTCCAGCAAAGATTTCAAGCCCTATTGCTTTCATTGCATTTTTTCTAAATTCCTGGGAACTGTCTGTCAATGTGAGAGTCAGAGATACCATGCATGGGTGCTCATCATATTCCTAACTGCCTGCCTGTCTTCTTATCTGCCATCAAGACGTCTCAGCATAATTTTCTATGCAGTCTGCTGATTAACGTGGAGCATATGCTGGAGTGAGGATTTAATTTGCAACTCTTCTACTTGAAAGACACACGGCATACAATAATTTAAATATAGAATTATTTGTTTTATTTTTAAATTGTGAGGCAAATATCAAAATGCAAAATACGTGATACTTTAAAGAAAGCCAGCATCAGTGGTAAATTAAGGAGCTTATCAGCTTTCAAAATTTAGAAACAGGCTTTGTTTTTCTTAGTTGATAGGTATTAATACAGCACCACCCAGCTTTTTATAACTTCAGACTTTAAAGTTATGACAATATTTTAAAACTTTATGTTTTAAAATGGTTGCATATCTTTAATTATATTTAAAATTTGAACAGCAACAATATTAAGATTAGACACCATTATTTTATGATTGTTATTGGTAGAAGTAGATGCACGCTCCATTCATTTAGAAATAATAGTAGTAGAAGTAGACACAGCAGTATTCAAAGTCTGAATTGGTCGCTCGGCTCTGTACTGTGCTCTCTGTCTCGGGGTGTTCTTGCCTGCAGCTGCTGAAGGATATTGTTGTTGTGGTCCGGCAGGCTGGAGCTGTGTCAGGTGGAAGTGGAGCTGGGGCGGTTCTCTCACCTGCGCCAGGAGGTTCAGAGGGAAGAGCAGGCTCTGGAGGTTCAGCAGGAGCAGCAAGCTGCCCGCAGGCTACGGCAGGAAGAGACAGCTGCCAGGGCAGCCGAGCTGAGGCACCGGCTTGAGAAAAAGTGATTTGAGTTTGTTGGGGAATCTGTGCAGTTACATTTTGGTGATTGAACTTTAGGGGCTGTTAATCAAATATTTACTACACCCCAACACATCTGATGTGTTGTGATGTCTGACATCAACAATGATTGCTCAAAGCAATGTTGAGACACTTTTCTTTCTATTCACACAGTGAAAATCTGATCCCTGTGTAATATTTTGAGTTTTTTTCTCCTTATGTAAATAGGATTTCCTCTTTAATTATTGTGTTTGAAAACATATTTTTGAAATGCTAGAAAAACATTTTCATAGCCTGACTACTTTTTTATATGATGTGACTCATCTGGCATCACTGGAAGTTTAACTGCTCAAATTACGGCAAAATTTGCTTTCCATTCTTCAACTCACTACTGCCAATTTGTCACTTTTCAGTATCGGAAAATGGGAAGCAATTAAAAACTCCTGCAGAATTGCCTTGTATATGTAATGAAATACATGCCATAATACCTAAAAAAATTAAATCCTGGATGAGATTGGTTTAACAGATCAGTATGGGGCACGCTGCACAATATGGATAAATGTATTGCATGCTGGAGTGAAATCACTTAACAGCAGAAGCCTTTCTTGTAATAATCGTTTTATGGGACTACATGTAGAGAATAAAAACAAATTGGTTAACTGAGCTCTTTAATTTTTTTACCATACATTCCTGTGTAGTACGTATTTCTTTTCCTGCAGCAAAGCACAGGTTTTGATAATTACTATGCTTTTCTATCCAGTCCTGTTTGCATTTCAATTAGGTGTGACCATTTGGATGGTCTGAATTGTCCCTTTTATATGGGCCTTGTCAAGGGTGTTTCAATGGCGGTCTATGACGAAACAGAATCAATGCAGGATGATGGATCTTATGGCCTCTTCTTATATGTGGTCTTTCTTTTCATCACTTCCTTAAATAAAGTCCTAGATTAAGAATAAAAAAGTACATATTTTAATTGAAAATTGGTTTATTCTCTAATATAAGCTCTCAGCATCTAAAGATCATTTTATCTCTTCCTTTGTTTTTTACTAGAAGACAGATGAATTCCCTTAAGGAACGAGAGGCTCAACATCGCAAGGCAGTGGTGGAAGCACAGCAGAACCACAAGAAAGCTGTTTTGTATCTGAAGGAGACAATGAACAGGTAATGACTTCATTTATCACCCAGCAATGAGAGCTTAACACCTGGTAAAAGTAAGATGATTTATACAGTATAGCTTTCTGATACCGAAAAAAGAAGCTTGATGGTTCAGAATAAATAAAGGTGCTTACTTCTGCATAGTCTACTAAGATCTGTGAGTAAAATATATTATAATTTATGGTATTTCATACTCATTCAGTATCTTCCAATATCTTATTTTTAATTTAATTTTGAAATTTGAATTTAGATTGCATTAGTAAATCACCTTTTCCAAGATGTTTTTATTGAATAACTGTCGGATCAGAGAACCATAATAGGATTATCTGTGTTAGAAAACATATAATTCAGTTAATATTTAAAAAAGGAATCTAATGATTTGTGAAATCTGAGAGAGATATCTTTTTAAATTTTTTTCAGCTTTATTGAAAACTGAAGAAAAACACAACATGATTGATTTAGCAGTCAATGCAGCAAAGCAATGCTGAAGAAATTAAAATATGCATTCACTTCAGGGCATTAACTCAGCTGTCAATATGAAAGATAGGAAAAAAGTCTTGCTTGCAAATTTGAGCTGTTTACTTTCTAAAGCTGCAAACAACACTGGAAATTATGTCAAACAATGAATTTTACATTAGTAGTTTTTTTTATTCAATAATGCATGGCACTATAGTTTTCAAATTTACCCCATAGAATAGTATTGGCAAATATTTGAGTCGGAACACTAGTCTTCTGTCAAGTCTACTGGTTTCACATACCAGTTCTGTATCCTCTTGGGACATTTGGGAAAAATTGTTTGATCTCTTAGTTAACTTAGAACGGGGGTATCAAGCTCTAGACTGAAGAACTACTGTGTCTTGGGGGACTTTCACATGGAAAGCTGATAGGAATTGATAAAGTGGACCAATATCACCAATAATAAACTAAATTAAGAGGTCAGAAAGTGAGCTGTATTGGTTTTATGTGGAAACTTGGAGAGGAAACCACCAGTGATGTTGGTGTGGAGAAAGATTGGTGTGATGTTGTGTTTTAAGGAATTTACAAGAATATTAGTTGGATTAGTGAGTTTTAACAGTTACGAAAATATCAGGAACTCCTGCTGACAATTTTGTTTGACTTATTAGAGATGCAAAATTAACCTGATCAGTAAGTAGTATGTATTCCTGAAATATTATAATATTTTCAGACCAATCCCAATCCATTCCTCAAGCAGGTATGCCTGGCATGGTATATAGTGAGGGGATTAAATTCCTTGTGCCACTGCTTCTACCTGTTTTTAATGGACTTGTTCTGTGGAAGGTATTGAATGTCTGTTTTTTTTCCCTCAAGCCAGCCAGGCATTGTCTCCCATTTTTGCAAATTTCGTGAAAAGAACAAATTTTGTTCATTATGGTGAGGGTAATGTAGTAAAATCTCTTTAGGAAAATGTTGTTTAATTTTAATTTGTAATCGTATGTAATAAAAAAAATAAACATTCAATATTTATTTGTCTTATATTGTTTGTCTTGACCTCATTGTTGGTGGTGGTTGTTATGCTATATTTTTGTGTTGGACTCTGCCATAAAACCTTCCCTTAGGGGATAACAAAGTTTTAATTTTGGAAATTCCTGTTAAGGACTCATGTTTTTTAGAATTCTAAAAGTGGGATGATTGAAATATTGTACAAGTTTTTGATTTTGTAAAGCTTGTATTCCTTTGCATTCTGAGCTGTGTCCTGGTACGAAATTAATCAATAACTTGTCCCTCTGATGGGGTGCTCTGTTAAAACTCTTCTAGAATTCGTCAGAAAGAAGCAGAAGAAGAGATGCAGAGTCGAGAGCAAATGGAGAGACGAGTACAGGCAGTGCTGTCACTGAAGACAAATATTGCAGCCACCAGGGTGAGACGGCTTGAAACCCATTGCAGGAGTAATAACTTCCCTTTCAAATAAAATAAATCTTGGCCTCTGTATTGTAGAAACGTTCTATTCACAAGAATGTGTTTTCGTTTGAAAGGTAGTGAGCCATTTTGGTGTGGACCATAGGCATTTCTATTTTATCCAAAGCATAGCTGTTATTAATCCCTGAGTTTAGTGATTAGCAAATCCTTGCTGTTCCACATTGCTGTACGTGCATAAACATCAGCAAAATGTAAATTCTGCTTCTGTATGGTGGATGTAATTTTAAAGCAGAGGCGTTGTTGAAGAACTCATGTCTGACTTTGTACAATCATATCGGGGTGTGCTTGGGCTTCAGGAAAACCTCCACGCTCTGCAGGCGCGTGATAAGGCCAGGATTGCAAGGCAAAAGGAAAAGGAGAGACTGGTGAGGGAGTCTGTGAGGGCCGAAGGGGGAGACGTCACTAAGTACATGCACCAGCAGAAACAACTGCGGGAATTAGAGAGGAAAAAACGGTAGGCTTTCTGAGCTCGGAGCCATGCCACCCAGATAACATTCTTTGAGGTTGTTTTTCATTGTCAAGCTTTTATCTATTGTTTTGATGTGTAAAGACAAATCTAATCGTTGTCAGTTTTGAAGACGAATCACGTCCATAGGTGTCTCTGTCATGTGCTTGTCTGTGAGGAAACTGGTTGAAAGATCAATGGCCTATGAAGTCATCAATGAAAAAAAAATAACTTCCTGGACCTGTTTGAATAGCACGTCACCCCTCAACCTATTCACACAGAAGTTTTATAATCGTACCGTTTGTAATTAAAACTTAAACAAGCTAAGTGTTCATACTAACAACTGAAAGATTTGCACCAGAAGCCTTGATAAGGTACCTGTACCATATCATTGCTGTGTCAATGGAAATGAATGGGAGCCCTCTGAGACATTTCAGTATCTGTATAATCTATGTCTTTGGGGTAAAATCCTTTCCTTATAAAACCATGTTCCTTTCTTTCTGTACTCCTATCTTAATATTTTCTCTTTAAGAGCATTTGAGGAGCAACAAAAATCCAGGAAAATACAAATAATCTCTAAGATCCTACAAGAAGAAGCCTTACTGGAAAAACGCAAGAAATACCAAGCTCAACATTTTCCCACATATCGGAAGAGCCTGGATAAGGCTTCCTATTCTACGAAGACTCGTGAGAAACTATTGGAGTACTTAGATTTAACTTATGGAGAAGCAGATGAAGAAAGCTATTCTCCAGTAAGTAGGAAAACCTACTTGATGAAATGTAATGTACACTGATTTCATGTAAGAAAATGCTGTCTTGAAAGCATTTTTCCTAATATATCTGCATTTCAGAAACATATTTGATAAAGAACTGTCCCATCAGTGACATTCCACCAAACATTTCTGAGGTTTTGTGTATAATTGATGAACAAGACGTTCGCCATTCAAAGACCAACTTGTTCAGGAGATGATTTGTAATTTGAGCTGGGCCAAAGGTTTTATCTAATTCAGGCCCCCATTAATTTGGTCGTTTTAGAATAAAACCTTGATATGTGTTTTTCCCCTTTTCTATTCTGTTCCCAGGAGTGGCGCATTCCTTCCCCATTGTCAGAGGATGAGAATCCGGTTGCTGAAGATGGAGCTGCGCTCCCCGAAACACAGCCTGACTCTCAGGGTTCCCCTGAAAGAGATGACAGTGAGGAAGAGAGGACAACAGAAGAAAGTCTTGCTGTACCTGAATTTACAGGCCTATGGGAGCAGAAGCATAAAGAATACAAGGTACAGGCTGCATGTATATTTCAGTCTCTGTGGCTAGATCATGCTAGAAACATGACCTTTTTTTCTAGAATTATTTGTGAAGGTACAGGAGCACACAGGCTCAGGGTAATAGACCAAAGAATCAAGGCATCCATTCAAAGTTAATTCAAAAAGATGCTCTACAACATTCCTGATATCAGTGTAGTTTTATGTATGTATATTTGTGTCATTGCCCCAGCATTCTGTTTCCTATTCTGTTTCATTTCTGTTTGTTTGCTCTAAGAAAATCCTTGTGCTGAGAAACTTCTATGAGTTTATAGTGGGAGCGTTCTGATAGTTTGTTGAAACATTATTGATTGAAAGGGGAGCACCAGAATTCTGGCCTACATCCATGCTTATAAACAGAGATGCAGCGGGGACATCATCTGTCTTCAGAACAGTAATTGAAATACTAAGTGAGAGAGACATGGAGTTATAACAGTGCTTATGAGGAGTTTATTGAAAACAGTGCATTGGTTCTCTGAGCTCAGTCATTTTAAGGCACCTATGTAGCTAAATCGCCCCTGCTCCAAAATTTGTGATGACAGGCATCACTTCTTATTTGCTTGTACTTCTGACGTTCTCAACATAACATGACATTCAGCCCTGCTAGTTCTGTGAGTGAGGAAGCCAAGTGGAAAATATAGTTTTAACATTTGGTTCAGAAAATCATGTCATAATAGCCCATTATGGTTGCTCATCTTGTGTTAACAGGGGATTAAGCTGAATCATGTAAAAAGCTGGGAAACTTTGGGTTCCTTACTTATTAAGCTATGACTTTTTAAATTAATTTTTTGGTTTTGAAAACTGAATGGGATTACTTACTTAATCAAATAGCAGATGAAGATGATTTTAAAAATGACTAGACCTATATTGTATGTCACACGAAAAACATTCTTTCTAATATAATAATTCTGACTCCTCATTGTAATGTAGCCTCCATGAAAGACAAAATTTAGTTAATGGCTTTATTCATGGTTGGGGATGTTAATACTTGTGACATTTATAGTCTTTTAAATAACTGGATACATTGTGTGTATAATTTGTTTCAGGACTGCTGGAGGCAACAGAATGGAGCTTCACTGATGTTATAATAGATTATACTTTTAATAGCTGTTTATCAGCCCTCATTTATTTCTTGTAAAAAGTACCGTTATAATATCATCTTCTGTTTGATTAAAAAGTTGCAGATTCCATAGCTCATACTTCAACCTAATTGGCTTTGAAATTAAATTAGTTGTTTTTTAACACCATTAGATGTAAAAAAGCTCATTAACCCCCTGGTAGCTATCGCATTGTGTGCCATGTTGTGATGTTCTGAGAAAACGTAAGGTTCTTTGTTTAATAGTTTATAGAACACTCTAAATAATGAATTGCCATCCATACTATCAATATTAAGATCACAGCTTTAAAGTGTTTGTTTGTGTTCTGTTAAATTATTTTTTAGATTTGGTTATGATGTCATTCTTTTTGTATGACGTATCCGAACTTTCACTGCTATTTTATAATTGTTGTCTCCTTCACAAAGCAGAGGGTGTTTTGAGAGGTGATTCCAAATGGATAAAATGTATTCAGTATTTGCCATATTAACATAACATACAAAAATGCTAACAGCCAGATTAAGAAGTAATACTCCCTCTATCTAGCTTGACATTAATGAAACTTCCTGTGCTTTTTTTGATATCTGCTATTATTTTCTCTGGATAGAAATAGTATTCCTTTAGAATTCAGAACATAAAAAATGCATTTCTCTTGGAGATATCAGCTTCAAGTGGAATCAAGCATGGTTGATTCCACATTGGGAAATTATACATTTCAGTTTATAGTGTTATGAATAGCACTAGTTGGGCTTCCTTTATATAAATATAATTCAGTTTGACATTCACATTTTTAAACTGTATGAAATTCTGATTGTCTTTTTAAACTGAATGTGTTTCACTTGAGTATTTCATGATTTTAGCCTTAAAGATTGGATTAAATCATAACATAGAGACACTAAGCAAATTACAGAACAAAGACATGGATGTATGGCATTTATTTAGTCATGGTTTCTTGCTTCTACCCAGTAGGGAGCAGACATCAGTCACTGGGCTTTTGGATTAGCTGATGCTGATTCAAAACATGAATAAGGCACATGTTAAATCAAAGCACAATGCATCGTAGTTTCAATAAAATATGTTTTTATGTTTGGGGGATCTATGTAAGTGTCAAAAGCCTGTTCATATAATGCAAGTTATTAAACCTGTCAAAACAAGAAATCTTGACTGTGTGCTGATGTTTTAAAGTTGGATGTATTTTCTTTGAGCAGTTATTCAGTACTTTCCTCTGGTCAGCCCCCAAAGAATCCATTTGCAGTGGGCTACAGGGCCTGTTCATTTTCTTGAAAGTATTTTAAATTTTTCCTGAAGGTTAAGAACTGCTGCCTGCCATTATTCATTTTCCACAGTGAATGTAAAAATGCAGTAATTTGCTTTTCTGAAGCACTGGTCCTGACAGCATATTCACATCAGATTTCATAGACAAACATCTGGTGAAACAGCCTTGGAAAGAATTTGGTGTCTTTACCCATCCAGGATTAAAAAGTGAAATTAGCTTTATAGAAGAAGCCCATTTAGATTATCTTTAATTATTAAAAACATGCCTTGGGAAATTTAAACTTATGATATTAAGTGTTCTTTTCATGTTTCTTTTAAACATACATTTATTTATTAAATTTAATTTCTCATGGGATATCATACCTCTTTCTAAATTTGAATGTGATTAACTCAAAAATCACAAAAACAGACACAAAACTCCATCAGAAAGTGTAGATTCAATGAGTTGAACTTACTTAAAATTGTGAAAACTCAACACAAGGATGTTTGCTTTGTCAAACCTAGATTAAAGTAAACAGTTTCTATATGATACTGGATTTGCATCTCTGTGTAAACTTTTGATATATAGATTAATAATCCTTCTCATGACCTGAAACACCTGAAAGACCTGAAAAACTATTATGCAAAGACTGCATTCACACAATCCCCAACGGCCTTAGCTCCTGCATGCTGTGACATTGCAGTGAATATTTCTTCATTATGAAAAATGGGTTTGTTAATCTAGATTTCTAATTGCATATTTGCACCATTTACTGACAAGGCACATTGAAATGAGTCCGTTCATGTTATCAAAGTTACTAATGTGGAAATCCTCAGGATTTGGTTTGCTTAAATCTTAATAGGAACTAACATCATCACATGTCCTGAATTTGACCAAGACTCATTTGTGCTCTCCTAGCAGTGATCCCCAGTGGTCAGTTATGTAATCCACGATGTGCACACTCACAAATAACCAGGTCATTGTTTGACTTACTTTTGTAGATATTTTACAACATTTCCAACAGAATCCAGGTGCCAAGTATAATGTTCTTCATTTTCCTGGTTGCTTTTTTTTCTTTCTCCAGTGTAGTTTGACATCTTGACTGATCACACCTTCTAAATACTTGCTAAATAACATTCTTTCTTACTGAAAATAAAACAAAAATAAGAACTTCTGAACTATGAAAACTTCTCAAGATTAAGTGTTTGCAATGTATGTTGCCAAATTTCTGTCTGTTTTACTAGATACCTAAGGATGATGCAAAATCCAAGCCTGTCAATTTAAGCAAAATGGACCAAGAGATTTTAGCTCGGACTCTGGAGAAGCAGAGGAGTGGAATAGTGCGAAAGCAAGTTGTGGTTGGTAGGGAATTTAAAGGATGCCCTTTCTACAGCAAACCAGAAGTCATTCACTTCAAGGTACCATTGGGTCCAATCTTGTGTGCACTCCATCTCCCTTCTAAAGACTGCAGCAATAAAATTATCTGTTTGTGTCTCCGATATGTAATGGAAAGGAAAATAGTACTGAAACCATACTGATTTCTAGAAAAAAAGCTTTTCACTCATATAGATCTATCATGTTGTTGATTATATGCTTTTAGACTAAATTAATTTTAATTTAAAAGGTTTTACAGTATATAGCTTTCGACCACATACGTGTATTCCACTTAACCTACTTGAAGGCCATCTCTTGCAATTGTAATCTTTAAGTTGTCGAAGGGGTTAAATCCATAGAGTACACAACAAAAATGCCACGTTTTTGTGTTATATGAATATGAATGTTACATTAATTGAACAATTGGACATCCTGTTGAGACTGTCCTTTAAAGTCAGTATCTATAATTAAGTCATTAAAGTATAAAAGTATTTTAAGAAAGGGCTTCACTCTGTGCCTTTTACACCTGCTTTAGGATTTTGATGTCGGAAAGACCTATAAGAAGAGGGTAACTCTGACTAATGTCTCCTACTCAATCAATTTCTGCAAGCTATTGGGAGTTAGTGAGCACCTGAAAGATTTCATCTCTGTGCAGTGAGTATTGGTGCTTTATTTGGAAATTGTTTCGTGTTGAAATTCTACTCTGAGAAAAATCTGGATATCCTGTCTTAATTGGACTTTCTCTGTGTCTTCTGTCTTCACCCATTTTGTTTCTGAAATTTTTGAGTCTTCAATATTTGGCTCTCCATTCTCTTTGAGTTATCTTGGGGGTTTCAGTTTCAGATAAATTAAATTGTCATCGGCTGTGATGTGCTCTTCCAATATGTATCCTTCATCTTTCATAACCTTGATATTTGCAAAAATATATATTTTTTTAATTCTATGTAAAGATGGGAAAAACTCTTAAATGAAAAGAATAAGTCTAGGACTTCTGCACAGCAGTGTATTGCTTCATGAAACAAGAATGAACATTTTTATGTAATAAATATTCCCTCATTAAAGACATTCAAAGCCACAAAAACCCCAAGAAAGGTAAGGAGCGATTATCCCCCATATGGTCAGTATTATCAAACATGTTTATTTCTTAAAAGCTTTTTCTAGATTAACCATTGATTTAATTAAACCCTGGATCTACTGATTGCATAAATGTTCTGTTTCCAACCAGGAACAGTGCAGTGCTTAATGAAGGATAAAAACAGCACAAGGCAGAACTCTTTCAGTATATAGCACTTTCAAGTGGTTGTGTTTTATTTTATATATAAGGTATTAAGAAATGGATTTTCATACTGCATGCAATGTTTTTTTTTTTAGATACTCACTTTATTTAGAAATGTGTATATATGTACAGACAGTAAAAGGTGTAACAGACATTTTGTTTGTTGTGAAATCGAGGTAAATTTCTCCCCCGTGGTCTTTAAATATCACAACAATATGAGCAATCCCCCCGTAACAACACGGGAGTTGGCGGAGCTGCGGTGAGCACCCGTAAAAGTTGACACCCCACCCTAAATACCCTGTCTAACGGCCCAGCCTGGGACAAAGAACCCGCTTAGCACATCGGTAACCGGACTGGACTGACCTTATTTAACGGGGTCCAGTCTAGAGCAGGGGGCGCAAGGCCAAAACTCAAAAATAAAAACTCAACTCTTGCAAAAAGGGTCAGAAAGAAAAACAACGGCCCTACGCTCTGTCACAATCCCCCTCCGGGACTGCCGCTAGAATGACCCTCCCCTTGCGGGGGTTTGCTCATCCCTCCAGGAGGTGCTCGGTGTGTTTTAAAGGGCCCCACATCTGCGGCTCGTCATTAATTAGGTGTGGTTACAACAGCAACGCGTCGCCCTTAATCAGGGCTCCGCCTCCACACTGAACACGCCCCTGTGTAATGCCACACCCCATAAAGATTAATCCACCGTTTTTGGACTGGTTCTTTCTCTCCAAGGAGCTTGTACTGATAGGATTTTATTTCTTCCAGGAAGAAAATAAAGGAGAATTTCCATGAAAACAAAGTTAATGGCTTTTTCAATTAACCACAATTAAATGCACTGGTGAAATGATGCAGTTAGGAAAATGGAGAACTGTTAGCTGAATACTATTAATAATGATTTTCTAAATTTGACAATATAATTCGATAGACGATCATTAATAAATGGTCTACACTAACCTTGTTATTCAGATGTGCAGAAGGGGAAATACACAACTTCTGTTTTGGAAAAGATTTATTGCAAGCACAGAAAAAAATATTTTCACTTGGTACCGATTTATTATCTTTTCTCATTAAAGGTTTTGCTGAGTTGCATTGAATTATCATTTTAGCAAAACGTAAACATAACTTGATAAAGGCATGCTGAACTGTTTTGTATTATGCTTAGCATTCTGAAAAAAACTCTTCACAGAATTGCCTGGATTTTCAAATATAATTCATTTAAAGTACGAAAACCTCATTTATTTTGACTGTTAGGATATGACAAGGATGGTGAAAGTAGATTAAACATAACCGTTTTGTTCTGGTCGTTTAACAGTTTTCTATATAGTGTGAAAATGTGTCTTGTAAATATAATTTAGGAAATTATAAAAATGCTTTTCTTTAAATCTTTCATTATTTTTGGATTTAAGGAATATGAGTTCTTCTATTGAAAGCAGAATTTGCCAGGAAAATCCACTTACCGAAAAATACACATATGCTATTCAGCAACTTATGTAAACACTGTACTCAGAAAATAAAACTTGTTCCCTGTTTGGTTTTCATAAAGCTGCTCTTTCTGGTAGAGAGTATTTAAGTGCAATCAGTAAAATAAAAAAACAGCTTTGTGAATATTAGGAAACAGGATAAGTATAGCTTTTTAGAGGGCCACTCAATAAACTCAGCCCTTACAGTGAAGGTCTGCATAAATAGGCAATAGACTTTAAAGTAATTTCCACAACGGCAAGCCCATTTAGACTACATGGAATGTAAAACCCTTATCTAGCATAGTGTCTGCAGTCAGTGTTGTAAAGACATTTTTTTTTTGATAAATGACTTTGGAGTTAAGCTTAATTGGACAGTGCTTTGGTGATGGAAGCTTAAGTCTTTTTTTGGGATTGAAGCCAAATTTGAAACTGGACATTTAAAGGCGAAAACAGTTTCTGGAACTCAGTGTTTTCTTTATTTACATGTAGGCGGGATATGTCAACAGTACGGGTGCCCTCTCTCTTTTTCGATCTTAGAACAGTTATTTTCCAAAAGGAGTAGCAGAGCCTGCACTTTGACTTGAGATGCAGGGAAGCTGGAGGCTGGCACCTCTTTATCTCAGTGCTGTTTTCTGTGCCAGGCCTGTGACTCCTGTGTTACTGGCATGCTCCAGTGAAGTGACATAATGCATTTCCTGCTGATATGGGCCAATACAAGTACAGAAACTGATTTTATGCATGGCTGTTATGTGTTTTTACCACACTGCTGCCTTGGCACAGCACCTATGGAGGCTCTTCTAAACTTTTGCCATTTTTTACACAGATGAAAAGTGTACCATTCTGAATAGAGTGATTTTTTTTCCCAGAACTTGAAAACTGTAGGGCTGAAGATCTTTTAAATGTTCGAGTGGGGAGCTGCGTCAGTGTGTATTGGCTACAATGGAACATGTAAAGCTTAATTCATGATGAAAAATACAATATATAAATATAAAATTTTTGGCTGTGGTGCCTTCTTCAGGTGTAACACACCGAGTTTGTCCTTTCTATTTTTCATCATGGAATTAACATTTACTTATTTCTAGATCTTTTAAAAGCAGGGTCTTGTAGCTACTATGTTTCACATTCAGAATGGATCTCTTCGGGGTTAAAGAAAGTCACGGAATAATGTTGGGGAAAAAAAGCAGTGAAAGTCTCCTAACACACATTTCCAATATAAAAAAAAGACCTGATGTAAAGGTATACTTGATGTATTGATAATTATTTTACTTCCAGCCAATACATTACTTTAATATTAAGATTCAGTTGCGGAAAAAAAAAGCTTTCAAATCATTACCACTTGAGAGTGTTGTCAGCTTGAGCAATCAGACAGAAAATTACAAAGGCGTACATCTGTGGAGGTAATCTAAATTGTAGTGCTTTACTACTGATTGATATTCATTTTTCTTAGTGACAAAATTAAGAAGTTCTCATCACTTTATTGTCAAAGGGATTTGTTTTTTCTCCACCCCTCTCCTTTTTTTTCATGTCTTACTTTTGAGAGCTTTTTTATTTTATGAGGGATAAAACCAAAAAAAACTTACGCTCACAGAAGTAGGTCAAAAGATACTGGAGGGATTATAAAACATATTCCCACCAATGTCCTTGAAAGCCAGTAATGCATTTTGGAGTGTGTTGACAATGCACATTCTTCAGACTTTGAACCCACTTTCCTTTTTTTAGTATTTAGTTTAGATTTTGATCTGTACTTTGCTTTTTCTTTTATATAAAAAGTGTTTGTGTATTATTAGAAAAATGGCTATTGCAGGTAAGCATTGATGGGTTGCTATGCCTTCGATGTGTATGTGCATCCATCCCAGGGCACACATACAATTCAGACCAAGGGAGACCAGGGCACTCATACTGCCATGCAGGTATACGGAGGCTATGCAAACTCAATGCAGAAGGCATTCAAGTCTGTGATCCAACCCAGGTCCCAAGAAGTCTGAGCCAGTAGTACCAAACACCCCATCACTGTGACACCCTGTAGAGAAAACAAAAATGTCTTGTGTCCTTTACATACAGTACATCCAGTGCATCAGGTGAGAACCGTATGTGTTTATGTGTTTTTCCTGTCCATGTGCTAAACACTAGGTTGAACAAAATATTGAATTGAATAGGGATAATGTGAAAGTATGTCATTTATGAAAAGCAGCTAATTTAAGTGCAAATACTCAAGATAATACTTATCATGAGATGTTGACACCTTGGAATTGTTTCACCACGTCTTCAGCCACTCAAACATTGGCAATAAAATGATTGCTTCTGGTTGCTGTAATATTGTGTTTATGAACAGATTTGAGGAGCCACAGAAGGTGGTAAGAGTCACTGTAATCTTAAATGTCCTAATTTTGCAATACATAAATATTTCTACATGCATGGGAAGTTATTAACCCTATATAGTACAATCACAGTCAAATTAGTTTTTGGACCAACAGTCTTTGTTTTTGCTCTTATTACAACTGTAAATCTTCTATTATCTTCTTCTTCCCCATGTGATTTTAAATTGCTCAAGGCATGCAACTTTTTATCATGTCACATCTTCAGTTTGCTGTGGCTTTGCATGTTCGTTACCAAGGACTGTTTTTGCCTGAAGAAAATGTTTAGAAAAATGAATTTGTTTCTGAAACAACACTAATATGTTGACTTTTGTGCCCACACAGTGCTTCATTTATTTTTATTGTATTTCTTTCCGGGAGAACTTCATTTAGCCAGGGGCAGCAGCTCCTACATCATCTGTATTTCCAGAATATGTGGTACACTAATTGATTTTAGTTTGAATTGTTCTATACAATCTGACCGTAAAATGTTTTCTTAAACTCTAACTCTGGGTCATTCTCATCTTTTATATTGTAACTTATCTTTTGTTATTTGGATTAAGAAGTGGAGAGGAATGGCACATTCATGCCTCAGACAGTTAAAGGTCAAGATATACAGTACCTGTTCTTGAAATGCATATTCTGCTCTTTGGTTATTTGGTTATGTGATTTAATGTTTCTTTCAAAGAAAGTAAAATAATACTGAGTAAATTGAATTCTGCACAAATAAACACATATACAAAGTAATCACATTTCAAAATATTGCTAAAACAAAAACTGAACCAGTGAAAACCTATACCAAGTTGTTTTTACAGATATTTTTTAAATAATTTTTACATCATCTATTTCATAATACCCACTTTTGCACTATATAATAGACCACCACAGTTCAGCAGCTAAGTGCGAGATCCTGCCTACTCTAAAAATCAGATCATCAAGGATGTTCTTCTCCTTGTCTTAACTCATGTATCCACCTACTGTTTATTTTTAAAGAAACTACTGTAAATTTCTTTTTCTGTGCTATTCCAGCTTTGAACCCCCAGGGGCTATGTCTGCTGGGATGTCCTGTGACATGCTGGTCACCTTTAAACCAATGGTAAGATGACAAACCACTAGTGATTGAGTTGCATTTCGATGACATGTGTGTGTTTATTCTGCACTGACCCATTCCTCTTACACTGCCCGACAAGAGAGACCTGTTCTTGGCTTCTTTGAAGATTAACACTTTCCATTGCCTTGGCTAATATGCAAACTGAACTTAATCCTGAGGAATGAGCATTCAAAACATTTTTCCTTGAAAAGGGATATTATGATCCACCTTCTCAAGACAGAATAGTTCTCATCATTTCGAAGCTAGAGTTTCATGCATGGAGAGCAAAGACCCTGCTTGCTGTAGCTGTGTTACAGATCACTTGTCTTTCAGCAATGGGTAAAACGAAATCCAGCACTTCAAGCAAAGTTCTTTTTTGATTTATTCTATTACCACAATACAAAAGCATGAACTCAATGCTTCACTGGAGTTGAGGTGGTTCAGGTATTTCTGAAATTGTTTGCTGAGATGTGCTTTAGTAGATTAACCTCTCCTGGCACCTGTCATATTTTCAACAAGACTAACGAATAATTCAAGAAAGAACATTAGGGTAATGGTTTTATTCATTTGAAATCCAGTTTAATTTTTTTCTTGTTGTTCCACGTGTCATTTATTAGTCTATTTGTATGCCAGTGATGATTAACCCTTGACTTTCTGTGTTGTGTGCTGTGAAACAGCTGTCTTTTTTGTAAGTAAACGTGTAGACAGAGAGCCTGGAGGCTTTATTTTAATCAGCTCAATCTTTTATTGCATCATTAGGTTTTGTGTCAGTGTTTGCACTCCAGTCATTCCCCATTCGCTGATCTCTTTGCTAATAGACTTAGGTTATTAAGACTTAAGTTTAATTTTGAGAATGTAATAAGTGAATTAATGCTTAAAACAAAAATGTTTGCTTGGCTAGAATTACTTCCAGTTATCCTCTGAAATGTCTCAGTGCATTTAATAAAACCTGTAATCCTAATGGATGTGGATTTTTTCCTTTTCCTTTCAGATAAATAAAGATTTGGATGGAAAAGTACAGTTTCTGTCTCAGACAGGGCCATTTTCAGTCTCTCTTAAATGTACCATCAAGAAGTGTGAGGTGAGTTTGATGAAAATACCACTGGCATGTTTTTAGACAGCTGTGCTGAAGTGGTCACATTTCAATAAAGGTACTACATAGGTTTAGTAGTTCTACTTTTTCTGCATCTTTTACTAATATTATTTCTTTGTTTTATTTAAAGACATTTTATTTCTCAAAAATGTTTTGAATCTTGAACTTGAACTTTATTGCCATATGTAACCGGTACTGGTACAATGGAATTCTTACTTACAGAAAGTCTCTCGTTTGTAAAACAAGTGTAAAAAACAAAACAAAGTGCAAACAGTGCATCAAGACAATGTACAAACAAACAATAGACAATGTGCAAGTAAACATGCAGACAGTTTGAATGTACACAATACAGACGTGTAAACAATGACTGGAGACGTACAATAAATAAATTACAATGAGGTAGATGGTGATGGTGTAGGTGTGGTCCGAGGGGGATGGCTAAATGTGTTCGCCAGTCTCACTGCTTGTGGATAGAAGCTATTGAAGAATCTAGTGGTTAGTGACCGTATGCTCTTATATCTCTTGCCTGAGGGCAGTGGGGTGAAGAGCTCATGCCCGGGGTGGTGACTGTCCTCTGTGATGGCCAGAATTCTACCACGGCAGCGGTCCTCATAGAGCTGTTTAATCTCGGTGAGACCGCAGCCGATGATCTTCTGGGCCATATTGACCATTCTCTGCAGTGCCTTTTTTTCTCGCGAAGAGGTGTTGCCATACCACACGGTGATCCCGTTGGTGAGGTTGCTCTCGATAGTGCAGCGGTAGAAGTTCACCAACACATGTATTGGCATCCCCCATCGCTTGATGGGCACCTCAAGAAATAAAGGCGCTGCTGAGCCTTCTTCATGATAGAGTACAGTGAAGAATCTTCATGAATCTACAGTGAAATGTCTTATAATTTGTAACTACAGCATTACAAATGAGTATATTGTTTTGTGAATCGGTTCTGTGATTTTTGTAGATCTGTTTCTGTCTTTTCCATTTTCTAATATTCGATTATGGCTGATATTTAACTGCTGTTACTTTTAATTATTTTACATAATCTGGTTGTTACAGAATTTTGCATGTCACCTGAGTTGGTATTAAATCAAATGACTTTTGACAAAGGAGAGTTCAAGGAAATTCTTTTACATACCAAAGGGTAATTTGTAATGTGCCCCCATCTAGAAAACTAGGTAGTATGTATCTGCAAACACTATATGTTTACCCACTTCCTACCTGTACAAAGCAATTCATAAAGATTTTTGTTTGCGGTTCTTGAAAATGTCTTTTAAACTTGATAGAAATCTAACACATGGTAAATGTGGTTAATTGGTGACGTGGCCACCTGTTTTCTCACCACACCCTGACTGAAACCTTTTGTTACAATATAAGTCAAGTCTGCACGTCTAGCTCATTTGAAGATGAAGATTAATTATTATCTCACAGCACTGTCACAAGTCGCTGGAGGAATAAATAACCCAGTTACACTTCATTTTTCTCACTAAGCGGTCCCTTTCATGTTATCGGTGACTTGTTAATTACTTTATATATGCTAGACCTATAGATAGTTTGGGTAATTGGGTGGTAAAGGGGTGAAAGGTTGAGATTACCTCCTGACAGTTTAGCTCCTGCCCTGCTATCACATTAATATTGGATCAAAGGATTCTTGGTTATGTTTAAGTTCAAGTTAAAGATTTAAAGCTTATTTTAGCATTAGGTTATGGGGGATGGTCGTATATTTTTACAGCTGTTTGCACTATTGACAGTTAGCACAACCATTTCTATCACTACACTCCTCTTAAAACAGTTTGGTACTTTTAAAGATTTTAAGGCAATTATGTGATGCAGAAAAGCATTTTGTCTTGAGTAATGCTCTTCTCAAGTGATTTTTTCAAACAGTCATTATGCACTGGCAATATAATGATAATATTCCCTTCTGAATAAGAAACAATACAAAATTGCAAGAATCTATGCTAGTAAAAGGTATCTCTTTATTAGTCTTTTGAGCGAACAACAAGTACCTTCATCTGAATACTCGGGAGGGATCCCTTTACGATAAGTGATGTGTCCCTCAGCAGGCTGTTGAATCAGTATATGTATTTTTTTGAGCCCAGTGAGAGATTTCTCATTATCTGTCTTCTACTTCTCACAGCTGGCTGTTGATAACAGCCTCATTGATTTCGGTACCCATGTGGTGGGTGAGACAATTTCACGAGTAATCACCCTGACCAACCGTGGGACCCTGGGAACACATTTCATTCTTGTTCCATCGTCAGACTCTGGTCCAGTCCAGCTTGTATCAGAGCCTTTCTCCATGGAGCCAGAGGTGAGAAGCTGTGCATCATATCGAGTGTGTGTCCGACAGCACAGCCCAACATCAGGATTCCCCTTGGAAAGTCTCAGAACTGATCCGCTTTCTGTCTGAACTGGACAACAGACCATAAAATACATAGTTTTGTTGCATATAAGCAGATGTAGAATACACTGGGTTTTTGGCTGATCCGCCGGATTTTAATTAAAATTAAAATGGGGGGTATAGCCTAATCTGTTGACTGTTCGAAGCAGAAATGATTAAGTCTGGATCTCAAGTTCAACATTATATCTTATATCCTAATTACTTCAATTACATTATTTGAATTAGATGTCAAACCTTAAGAATGTCGCTAATTGAAAGGTACATATCATACCCCCAGATCCATACCTAGTCTGAAGGCAGTACTGTATTTTCATATTTCTTACAATCCGTCAGGTTTCCCAGGAGGTCACCTGTGCAGAGGTCATCTCAGAAGGACAAGAAACATCTCTGCAACAGGTCTCTGGGGAAGACTGTGATAGCGCAGAAGAGAATCAGAAACCTACCAATGGGACAGTGTCTCCTTACACAGAGAAAGAAACGTCTGGTAAAGGCATGTGAACAAAACCAGCTAGTTGTGTTTTTTCAGATCTGAGGAATATGTTTCTTAGGCTTCATGGAAAGGAAGGGGTTTCACACTATTGTCTTGCACTCTTGTCTGTGCAAATTTTCTCGTTCTGATTGGGTTTTCTCCATGTGCTCTGGGATCCTCTCTCAGTCCAAAAACATGCAGCACAGGTTATTTGACATCTCTGAATTTCCCTCCGATGGACTGGCGTCCCATCCAGAATGTAGTCATGCCAAGTTAGTCTCTGTGACCCTGTATAAAGATAAAGCAGTTAATGGATGGTTGGATGAATGTTCCTAAGTCGAATATGTTCTAAATTATTTATTTCTCCATTTATTTCTTATTCCTTAAACAGAGCTGAAAGACCAAGAAGTTCCTTCTGCAGAGCACGGTGGAGCAGAGCTGCTTGGGTCTGGCAAATGGGGTGTTGTGGAGTCCAGTGAGATTAAACCTGGAGAGGTAGGAACTGTATTGCATACAGTATGTCTTTGAATGTACACTGCACAGATTACCTCTAGAAAATAAGAAGTCTGGTCACTACAACAATTTCACCTGTGCATAGATGGATTCATACAGTTTTCAGAATTGAAAAGAAATTGGTCAGAAAAATGTAGAAGTATACATACTCAATTTTATATGAACAAACACATTAAATTTGAATGAGAGATGAAGCAGGATTGGAAAGCAAGGGATTTTCAGGTTGAAGATCTATGAGCTGGAAACATAAAGAGCAAGTTGGGGTTTTCTGTGGGGCGATCATTTTAAACTTCACACTGTCTGCAGACTGAGAACAGGATCATTCAACATTTCCAGACACTCACAGCATTACTGAAGCACAAAATAAAACGTGCCACTCAGAGTTACAACTTATCAACTGCATCAAAATGTTTAAGCCACTCTTTATAAGTTAGGAATTAATACAGAATATATTTAACACTTTCCTGGATATTTATTTACAAGTGTGATTAGATTACAAACCATTACATATTGTTATATGGAAAAAAACTTGGATCAGAATTTCAGGCTAAAAATACAGCTGGGCACTAAATCATTCATTATTAAAATCTAATGTGGGAACTCCATTGGATAGTGTGATGCTGAAGTTTGGTAACATTCTAATAATTTTGAGTCATCTGGAAGGGTAGATTGTGACAGCTCTTTCCAGAATTCCACTTCAAGAAGATTAAATGGAAGCTGATGCCTAGGATTCTTTGAAGGGATTATTTGGATTATATACAGTTGTCAATTAAAAAAATCCTAATGTCTCTGAGCAAACATCATCTTGCTTAAAATAACCATCTTCATAATTATACGTTTGGAATTGAATAATGAAGATGATTTATCACTGAGAGTGGCAGAAGATTAAGTAGGCTGATTATGACATGTTATCAGATAATTTTGTTTGTCAGTTGTATGTATTACATACAATTCATCAAAAATATTTCTACATCATGATGTCACATTATATATAATTTACTTTTATTTTCTTCCCAAGTGTTTATAAAATTGAACTGGGACTTTGCTGTCAAGTTAAGGAAAGATCCATCTTACTTAGGTTGTCAAAATTCCTTAAAACTCTCATGGTTTATTTTGAATTTTTCATGCACAGGGTTTGCATTACAGATCCGGGACCTGGATTTCTTGCGTAACTCACTGCATGAATAGAAACCCCATGTGACGCTAGTTCTAAATTCTTTTGGACAGGTTTTTTGAAATGTTAGTGCAGTGCAGTTTGGAAATGTAGTTTGCAAAGTCTTCAGTCTTGCACTTCGCTTTAGACTCGAGATACAGTATCCATCTGCCAGCAGATGCCACTCAATTAATCACTTAATGCATTACATGATGGTGTTTACATGCTTCATCTCCATTCTGGGTGTGTAACTTTTTCCTAATGGAGTCTCCTGATGTGAAGCTTTATGACACTGAGCTCTTCCTATGGGAGACAATCTCTGTAATTGTGACCTTCATTGCTTTCTGAAACACATTAATAAACCTAATGCTTTTTCAGGGTGTTTGGATCTCTCCTTTCTATGTTGTCTCTTTTCCTGAGCTTGAAGTGCAATTTGTCTCGCATCAGACACACCTCTCCAGAGTATTTACTGTATGCCAGTATGAAGTTGCTTCATTTGTGTAATTCAAGAGGGCTCTAATGGCCTGAAGCCCAACGTCTTGTTTTAATGCATTTTGAGGCCATAATCAGTCCACATCCATAGAGCCGGAGCCTAACCCACTAAGCAATGGGCCCAAGGCAGGTCCAGAATTGAACCTGAGGCCCCTGCTCTGCATGCTAACCACTCTGCCACTATGATCATTGTGCATATGCTGTATATTTCCTTTTGTATGAGCTCATGGCTTTATCAAGTCCGTTTATATGTTGATTATTTTGTTGTGATAACATCTTGTGCATTTTTATGCTACTTTCACAGGCTAATTCGGTTGTTTTTTTCTCACCAAATACTGACCAAAAACAGTATTTCACTACCACTGCACCTTTAGCTACTACCATGCACTTACCTGCATCAAATGAGCATCTAAATGTTTTTAGACACAATCTTTTGTGTCAGCAGAGTCTACACATTCTGAAATGAATTTTAAATCAAAACATTGTAGAGGTCGAATTTATTCCTTAAAATCACAAAAACCCAAGGAACGGAAGCTTTCCCTGTAATTTTCTTATGTGATGTTTTGTCCATCTTCCAGGTCCAGGAAGGTGAAATTGGTCCATTATCCTGTATCAAACTGCAGATCATTTTCACTCCCACAATTCCAGGAGACGTTCAGATGGCCTTTGATATCAGGTTCTCTGACCCCAGCGCACAACCTGTAAGTGGGTGATTGTATTTGCTGTGGCCCTTCATAGACATGAATATTAACAATCTTTTGGTAAACTAACAAGTTTTACATCATTATGTATGGTTTATTTTCCTGGCTTGTTTCTTATTCTGCCTTCCTTGTACTCTTTATCACATTCTGGAGCTGAGTCCTGAAGTTTTTATTTTTGTTCTTTTTAAATTAAGGACTCGAAATGTTTATCTATGAAAATATTCTACGGTGTTCAAAATGGATCAGCGCACATTGGTGTGCTACGTCTATACAGTATATTTACCAGTTACTCTTTTTCCAAAACGTTTCAAATTGCATTTTTTAGTACAGTTACATTGTAAAGTCAACTTACAACTAACTCATTTTTTCCCTAAATTTCAGATTCCCATTACAGTACGCGGGGTTGCCATAGATTTACCTGTCTGGGTTGCACAGCCAAATGTTGACTTAAAGATCTGCATGTATGACCGCCTTTATCAAGACAGCATTGTTGTGCATAGTAGGTAAGTCTATTAGCCTTGGATGTTCCTCTCTTCTTGAAAGCAAAAAATATTTGTCTTCACAGACTTTATGTGAAGCCGTCTAAACAAATCAGATGTTTTATATGCCGAGTTTCCTATAATGTATAAATATTGAATGTCTTCCTGTCGTCATTTTTGTAGATGCTTAATCTTCATTGTAATATAACAAAATGAAAGATGTCAAAATAGACATCAGTGTAGTTTTTGAAACTGTATTTTTTTCTAATTCATTTTTTTTCTTGTATATACTATATTGTTTTAAAAAAAAACCTACTCCCACCCATATAATGTATTTCTTTTCATGCCAAACCTTTACCATAGCTGTTTGCATGTTTGGATTTTTTTTTGTAAGGCTCCATAAATATTAAATGAATTTAAATGAGAATTTCTTATAGGAGCTATTAAAAAATTGTTCCTTTAAAATGTCGCATTACTTGTTCAGTTAAGTACTTGTCATAACCTATAAAAACAATTGGATGACTTTATTTTTTTGTTATCCTGTGCCCCCCTTATTGTCAGGGGAACCTGGAATAGTGCATCAAAGAGCAGGTACCATCTGGAGCTCAATTACACATTTGTAGGAAGTAATAGTGCCTGAAAGCATGAAGGACAATAGGGTACTGTTCATCTATCCCACAAATCAGATGACAGGAGCAGCTGCAAATTAACTTGAAGTTGGTTTTAAAAAGTTTTAATTTTTCCCCAGACACTTCTCCTTTGTCCTGTGTTCCTGTGTGTTGATACCAAGTCCATTTTGCTGCAGACTTATCTATATGCAGCCTGTTAATAAATATATAATGTTCCTATGAAGCCTGCTGTAAAAGCTTTACTTAGTGGCACAATGAAAGTTGAGACCTTGGGATGGACAACCTGTTGCAATGGACAACAACAATGGACACTGAAAGGCTTCATACATCTGTGTACCATATGCTCTCACACACGCAAATCATTCTGAGCACACATGGTTTAATAAGAAAGAGGTGCATGTTTCATGCTGTCACCCTAGCACGTTATGTATAGACAGGTTTCATTCAAAACACTGACATCTGCACTGAATAAATTGATCGCTTTTATCATAAGGATCATACGCTCCTAATAACTAAACATTTTAGTTTCATGTAGTTCAATTCCAATAATTTATGTGTCTTGTTTCTGGAAAAAAAGATTCTTGATTTTATATATGAGATTGAAAAGCTACCTGAAAGGAAAGGATTCTTGCATTTTTTGAGGTAGGCGTTCCCACTCATACACTGTGAGCAGTCCAGCCCACGTCTGTATGTCTGACAAAACAGATGCAACACAGCAGGCATTGGAATCTTCCAAAAATTCATGTTCACCAGGCCCACATGCCCCTTCTAGGGTTTTACGCAAATTAAACCTGAATGTTTTGATGCAAAATACTGCATTATTCAATCTAAGAAAAAAACATGTGGAGAGATTAACATATTCTTTTCCAGAACGGAAGAGGTTATTGCAACTACTTAAATTTAATATGCACATACAGAGGTGATGTAACAAAAGTATCAGATGATATAATTCTTCTGAAAATGTTCAAATCAGTTAGCAGATGTCTATTAAAGCACAATCTTAAAAACTCATCCCATAAATATTTGATTTGATTATCATTAAAACAGACTGTGCCTGACCTAATGTTGGCTGAACAGTGAAGAACAGAGAAGAATAAGTACTGTATCTCTAACACCTGGCTATCCTTTTTAATCCTATTTCAATGTTTTTGAAATGGCTCCTGAGAGGCTCAGATGCTCAACTCTTAATATAGAATTTTAAAAATATCCTCCTTCTCTCCAGCCTTCCCAACTCCCCGCCCCACCCCTCCTAAACAGGTTGGCACTATTTTTGATTTTCCAAATTAATCGCCCTACTCCCCAGTTATGAATGACTGTAGAGAGGGTGCTGAGTAATTATCCACACCGGCTCTCTGGGTTTCATTTCAAACCATGGCCAGGGCTGCTTGGGGGAATGTGCTGCCGAGAAAGCAGCTCAGTCTGCCATCTGGACTGACAGCTTTTAGAACCACAGTAGGAATGGAAAGTGACACCAGTGTACCCTGGCAGCCTTGGAGCTTTTAACCAGGGGTGGACATTAGCACAGTCAGGGGTTGAGGGTATACTTGGCAGCTGGTATAAAACAAAGGGGTTAAGGCAAACTAGATTGTAATAGTAAACTACATAGCTGTTTCATACAGTACAACGCAAGTAAGCATGAAACAATTGGAGTATCCTTTCATGTGTGCATTTCCGATTCTTTTAAACACACAATAAACTATACCAATGGAAACTAAAATAGACTGGGCACAGTCCATATTGTTACAGTTAGCCCACTCATTTAGTTTTTTTATCATGTGTATTTTCTTAATGTTTGCCTGCGGCCCTATACATACTGTAGGTTAAACGGAAATAACCTCAGCCACGCTCAGGTGTGTTGCGGTTGAGGTGAGGTTTGTGGTTAAGTGCCATTGGTTTGTCTGTTTGGTGTAGCTCCGAGTGTGGTCATACTACATTGGAATAATGAAAAACTCAGGGAAATGTGCCACACACAATGCATGGTACGCTCTTTTTTCCTTTACTGCCTGGTTCCCTACCACCTTCATTGTCCTCGTCCCTCACGCTTTTAAACATAATTGCCACAAGTGTCACTTTGCAGAAGGCATCGGCCTCTGGGTACACTCCTGACATCAGAGGTTAAAACAGCTTGAAAGCCAATCGATGAGTCCATTTTAACAGCAAAACACATAAATGAATCAAATTGCAACAGTCCTCTGTCCTGTTCCTGGAGTGGCACCTGCACTGTGTGAAGTCCTTTGCAAGTATTGTACGTGTGTAGTTGGACTTTGCATGAAGAATCCCAATTGGTAAGGATCCATTTATATCACCAGCTCCTTGTATGTCCTTGCCACAGGGAGAACCATCTGTGGGAGTCTATTAAAATTGGGTCACTTACATTCTAGGAGAACAAAAAAAATTGGGACTCAGTTTTCAAATTACCCAGCAATTCAGCAAAGGACACAGTGCTCTCAATATCACAGAGTGACTGCAACTCAAACCGTAACATACTTTGATCATGACAGTTGTACAGCTCTTTCTACAAATGATTAATGATCATAAGTGGTTTATTTGAAAGGTAACATTAATATTATGATGATGATGACTGTTTAAAAAAATAAAAGTTAGAGGTGATTTATGATCAGCTGTTTTTTTATTTATTTGTTGGCAGTTTCTTTCCTCTTTAAAAATATCTGTCATTTTTTTTCACTTCCAACCATTGGATTTAAATTAGGAAAAATTGAAATATCTTATTGAAAATGTGGTTAAATAAAATGTTTTATTCACTTGTCTCATCGTGGTCTCAGCACTGGGACCCTGAATACTAAAGCCACAGTGAATCAGATGTATGTGCACCAACCACTTTACACAGTAAGTCTTTCAGTGGTCACCTTCACACTAGCATTCTCTAATGTGTTTCAGGTCCAGCACGGCTCTTCGTCTCACTTTTGTGGTTTGCAAGGAACTTCGGAACCACTTAGAGATACTTCCTAAGACCGGGTTCATCCAAGCTCAATCAACCTTCAATGTGCAGCTCAAATTCCTGCCCAGGTAACTGGCATCTTGCAGAGAAGACCAGATTTTAAAAACACATCCTAATATTTCAGCTTCGCTGCTATTAACCCCTTTCAAATGTTTCGAAATCTGGAGGCACTGTTCTAACTATGAAACTTCCTTCATATTGGTTGTTTGGTTGCTTATTATTGACACAGCTTTTTACATGATTTTTTTCCTTTTTCTAGTAAGGAAAATGGAAACAACAAGCTTTCATCTGTTGTTAAGGCATCTACAAATGCGGCTTTTTTTTATACCCCTGATTTGAAATCTAGACAGTACTGTAAAATGTGAGTAAAGTACATAATGTTAAGTATGGTTTTGGGGAAGGACAACCTAAGCACTAAGATGAATTAATAATAACACATATAACATAAAATTCAAGATGATAATTTATGAGGTTCACATTTTTCTCTCCTAAATAAAAAAAAAAACCTTTACAGCTTCACAAAATCCCGAACATTTAACAGACTCAGTGCCATCAAGCCTTTTAAGACCTTTGAGTGACATATTTAAATTAGGAACAGGTAGAGGAGGGAAGAGTTATGTTTAGGTTACGGGACAGTATTGAACAGAATGGGGTGGCAAGTTCTTTTCTGTGTAGCACCGAGGCATATGAATAAGGTCTAGGTTCCGGTGCAGTGACTTCATATGACAAAGATGTCTCTTTTCTGTACCTCATTGTGTTAATACTGGGCATGCAGGCATGAGCAGAATGTCGGACGGCAGTAATCAGCTTTCGTGGAGCGGTGGGTTGTGGGATGTGGATTAGGCAGGAATTACAGCACTGCTTCCTCTTCCTCCAATTTCAGCATGGAAGCTGTTTTATTTATGTCAACTTTCATGCATGATTTACACATGTTGAACACATGTTGTGCATCCACCTGTACATACTGTACGTGCCTGTATATACCAAAGTTCATCATATTTTTTACGATTCAATAAAAAATGTATAAATACATGATAAGTATTAAATATAAATACATTCGACAAATCTGAAGTCTTCTTCATCCTAGCGTTAATCCCGCATCAGCAGGGTCTGCATGTCGGCACGGCCATCTCCATTTGGTGCGGTCATAGCTGTCCTCCAACATTATTATTATTATTATTATTATTATTATTAATATTATTAAAGACCATCTTTTTTATCTGTAAGAGTTGTTTTGAGCCGTTCATTTATTGATTTCCCTTATCCTTGCATTGGCATGCAAAAACAGTAAATGTATTCTTTTGAAAAGGAAATACAATATGCTTTTCATTGTAATATAGTGTATCGTTCCACTATACACTGAACTGTAGCTCTAAAAGGGGCAGAAAATACTGTGCCAAGATTAACGTAAGTCTCAAGACTGCAGAATCTAGCTTTGATTCATTTATCTTAATTGTTTAAGGTTTATTAGTTTCATTATGGAATCCTGAAATCTTCATGGGTTCATACTCTTCCTCAGTGAATGAATTGAGAATCCCACTATTATTATAATGCCAAAAAAGTCTGCTGTAAAAGGCTAGAATAGCTCTAAGTAAAAAAGGAACATCATCATTTAATATCTAGTTTGTTTTTGCTGAAGATGTGCTTTTTAACATATTTTATCTAAAGCAATTGTTTGCTATCATCTGATTTTTTTTTGCCTGAGCTCATAGAATTGGGTTAACCTGAATAGAAAATAATTAAGAAAATGCAGCCATGTCTCTATTAATGTCAGCAAAGAGCGTGCTGTTGATTAGCTTTCAGATTGGGATTCTACTTCTGGGAATTGTAATAAGCAGCACAAGTAAGCAAAACTGAACCAGTGTGAAATTAAAGTGTGTTAAGATGACTATTTTGTTTAAAGCAAGTTTCAAAAGAAGATTTTTTTACACATGCTGGAAATGTGTTTTTCTGTCTTAATCCTTTCTATAACCCCTTTGATGATCACTGTTTTCATTGAAACCAAAGCCTTTACATATGAGATAAATGTGATAAAAAAAATCTAAATGCCTTATGTACAGTATGGCATGGTGGGGATTTATATCCAAAAAGCTATGTATATATTTGGGGATGTTTTCTATGAATTGTGTTGGGCCTGATCTACAGTATAGGTGGTGTAAAAAATAAAATAAAACAAGTGTTCAGTTGTTACAGATGAGACTGAAAATATTGTAAATTGTACAGCTGTGTATTTTGTTACTCAAACATATCAAGGAAAATGATAAAATGATGTATTTGTATTGCAAAATACAGGTAACAATCTCATAATATATATAAATGCATACGTATACTCTTGTCTTGCAGCAAATCAGATAAGTTCTTCTTGAGTTAATTAATTCAGGAATTTAGGTCCCTGTGACTCTGTTTTCTATTCCTATTGAAGTTCTTTTCCTGCAATCTATGAATTTTTCTTAGTGCTTTTAAGAAGGCCGAGGGCCCTATTAGAATAATGCAAATCAAAGAACATATTAATCATATTAATTAAAGAATAATTAATTAAAGAATATGATTTTTAAGTGATTTTCAGTGCAAATCAATGTGTAGACCACAGTTGAAAAGGAAATTGAGCCAAATCTAAAACCAGCCATCCAAACATTGACCAAACAGATGGGATTTCTGCTGTCCTACAAGGATTTTCCACTTTCCACAGCCAAGCTAATTCAAGTGTCCAGCTCCAGCAGAGATTCCATTAGCAAAGAACAAGGGATTCTGTTAATAAATTAAAATTAGTGTCAGGCCTCAGCAACTGTCTCAGTATATGACAATAAACAAAAGATGAATCCTGCTTTCCACCAGACACACTGGGAGTTAGTTCATGATTTTCTTCATGTGTGTTGCTAACTAAGCTGTTCTTGTTCTCCTTTTAGAAGACACCTTACAAACCTTTTCCAACAGCTGAATTATTTGGATTTGAAAGAACTGCGGGATAAACTCAAAGCAATGGTAGCAACAGGCTTCCAGAGATCTTTTAAGTATAATCGGGTTTTAAAGTGCTTTAGTGTTATTTAGAATCCCCGACGTCTGGAAACATAATTAAAATCACATAAGGCCATTGACATTCACAACTAAGTTTTCATGCAATAGGATTTTCACCAAACAATTGCCAGTGGCTTCAAAGGAGTTTGGCTTCACAGTGCTTCAGTTCAATTGTCATGTTCATCCTCTGATCAGCAAAAGTGCTGCATTTCAACATTTTAACATTTATTCGCAAAAATATGACACCGGGAAAATTATTGTCCTGCTGATATATGTAACACGTTTTATATTTTGATTTTTTTGCTTCTTAAATGCAGCTAGAAGGTATTTTGTGTGATGCCGAAAAAGTCCTGCCAGTAGAAAAAATCCATGAACTCTAAATATGGTCTCAGGTCTGTCAGAGCTACAAAGTAATATAGCAGGCGTAAAACTGGAGAATCGAGGTGGACACTCCCTGAAGTTCGTCTTCCAAAGAGCCAGATGTAAATTTGGTCCACCACCAAAAAATAAATAAAAGAAGGGTGTTTGTTACTAAAAATGGTGTTCTTTGGAATTGCTAGCTACAAATGAGTAGGTGATGCAAGAAATGCTAACAACCACATCCTTACACACAGCTCCAGAAAGCAAAAACCTACCAGTGCAAATCCGTGTCTCTTAATCCTTGAGTTAAAAACAACTTTTTCTGTGCATTAAAGTTTTTCGAGTGTCAGTAACTCTTGTAGGATTTGTGTAAGTAATGAATGGGAAACACTATTTCTGCCAAAAATAATGTCCTAGTTTTGCTTTTTAATTGATTCATTGTTTTTTGTAGGTTTCATTTTTTGTTTGCTTCATTTAAGTCGTGGTATGCACTGAAAGATGTCATTTCTCAGTGGGACAAACACCAGAGATTTATGGACCCATTTCTGTAGCACTTAATCAAATGATATAATCTGATGGATTGTTGTGAGGCTCCTGCCCTGCTCTGATCATGCATTTTACTGACATCACCATGGCTACAGCACAGACAGAGTGCAGGTCTCTCCTGTGGCTGAAACTGCAGTTCATTTGTGGCCATGATTTAATAAGCCTGACCAATCATCCACACTGTAACTAACGCAAGAAGTTCTTTTGAGCAGTCAGAACACTGAAATGGAGTGCTTGATTGCAGTCCTCTCAAACACTAACCCCTAACTGGGTTTTTAGTCACTTGTATGTAGCGTTGCTGCTCAGCTTTCCATCCACTCATTAGATTCCATTTAGTTGTTCAGCTCCACTGGCTGAGACTGTAATGCATATAGTTCTCCCTGAAGCCATTCTGGCTGTGGTACCCTGACTGCACTGTTGTCTTGTGTTAGAGTTATCGTTTTTATTGAATTATCAAAAGCCTTACAATCCACCAAAGAGCATAGTTTAATTAAACCAACCGAGAAGAGAAAACAAGTGCCAGAAAAAAATAATTAAAAAGACATCAAAAGGTGCATACATTGTAATAGAGGTGGAAAGCAAGCACTACTTGTAATGTATCAGACACATCTTTCTGCCTGTTGTACAGCCTTAGATATTTGTTTTTCTCTTCAGAAGGGTACGTTTTAGAATTGTATTTTAGTTCTAATTTTTAGAATTATATAAGGTTTAGTGTGTATATACTATAAGGATGTAATTGAATTCCTGGGCAAAAACTGTATGTGTGCATATGCTTCAAGCATTTAATTAAGGATTTTGTTCGAGGGATCTCTGTGCCATTTTAAGCAGAACACCAGCATATTATAACCTTGTGTTATAACAATGCCGTTTTCTTTCTTTGTTTCCTCTAGACATTCCTTGCCAGATGATACAGGGGCGTGTTTTGATAAAGAGACAGGTGTGCTAGAAGTCCCTTTGATGATACAGGTGGCAGATCAGGTTGGTAGCACTCTCATCCTCATTAGCAGTTTACCATTATCTGGAACAGGGAGATATTAAAAAGGCATCAAACTGCTCATTATTAAATGCTCATTTTCCACTCAGGTGAAGCCTTTTCTTCATTCATTACACTGGCTGATTTTCATTTGCTCAACTCCTATTGAAATCTTTAACAATTACTTGCAAAAGACTAATAAAGTTAATGCATGTGGGCCAAATTAAAACACCATCCCAAGAGGGCAGTTATTTTGTTAGCGCTAATGAGGTGCACATGGTAATGAAGGTTGTTTTTATATTGTTTAACCTTTTAGGATGCCTTTTTTCTGCTTTGCTTTTTATTTTAAACTTTCTTGTATTTTGAACTTTTCTGGGTTTCAGTGGTTATAATGGCAAGTTTGTCCAGAAATACAATGATTGATAATGACCATTCCACATAAAACTGTTTGTCATCCACAGACAGTGCTTTCCATGTGCACATAATATTCTGTTCTACCTCAGCCTGAAAGATGCACTACATTGGAATTATTGTGTACAGTTTTGGTCACCACTCTAAAGAAAATATACTGCTGCTCTGGAATCTGTCAGAGAGCAGCTAGACACATTTTAGGGCTTAAGGGAATGTCCTACACTGATTGGCTGAAGGAACTGAACCTTCTTAGTCTTGAATAGAGAAGACTATGAAGGGTTCTGTTACAAGTATTCAAAATCTTCAAAGGCACTGACAAGCCCAACCTACCAAAATTCTTCAGAATGAGCACACAAGAATGAGGACACAGGTGGAAACTGTGTGGAAGTGCATTTTGAAATGAGGACAGGACACACCTCTGTATCCAAAGGGTTGTGGGAATACAGAACAAGCTACCCTGCCATGTTGTTAATGCAGACCCCCTGATATCTTTCAAGAAGCAGCTGGATGAGATCCTTGGATCAATTCACAACTCTCAAATGGGCTAGACAGGAAGAATGTCCTTGTTTTTTACCATTCATATGTTCTTAAGAAAACGTACTGTAAGTGTTTTACTACAGACAGGTAATATTCCATTGCTAAAAAAGAACAGGGGAATAACATTTTCTCATTTTAATATGAACAATTAATTAATCCATAAATACTGGTCACCTACAGTATCTGGTAAAAACGTTAAAGAGATAAAGATCTGTCTTCTCATTGCTGCCATACGGAGTTCTGGTGCATGGCCCCTTTCATCTGTTTGAAGGTTTTCAATATATTGCTCCTCTTCAACGTGTGGGAGGGTGTATGCCTTCAGTTTGCACTTTAAAGTGCCCCATGTGCCACAAATGTAATTCAGCAATACAACATAACAGAGACTCCGTAATAAGGATCGAATGTAGTTTGCTTACTTATCAGAAACTGCAGATTTATTGAGCACAGTGATTACTCTGGAGACTTCCTTTAAATCTTTGTATAATGCCAAATACTATCTATTATTAATGCTGTTTCTCTTTTTATATGCAGCAAATTCTCCCACTTGGTTCTGAAGTATCCAGTCCCTTCTATGTGTGCTTATAGTGAAATATTCGAAACGGAAGATTTTGACATTAAACATTTACCCTCTTCTTACCTTTAACATTTTGTTTTCTGGGCAAAACTCACAATTTGAAAGCTACACGTGGATCTAGTTGAATTGACATGCTTTCTTAAACACTGTTCCTTTGGATCATGTTTTATTATAAAATTGAAATTCAACTGTTTCACAATTGCAAATTATGAAGTATGTCTCAAAAAGCATTTAAATAAAATGTAAAAAAAAACTATGAAGTTACAGGCAAAGAACGCTTTGGAGTATACATCATTTTCTCTGCCTTTATTCCAACTTTAACTTTCTATTTTGATTTGAAACTAGTGTTAAATACAATTCCGTGCCTGACCTCCAACCCTGACAGTTTGTGGGAAATAGCACCCTCCTGTGGATCACAATATTCACATTTTTAATCCCTATCAATTATATTTATGTAACGGAATCTATAAGGTTTACCTTTTCATATATGACTAGTTTCTTTGTTTTAAAAGCTGGTTGAATTTTACACCACCCTTGTGAGTCCTGCTGTCAGGATTAGAGAGTTCCTTTGGCTAGAAATGCCACCCTGCCCATCTCAACAGTGTGAGAAGCTGGCGTTTGGATGACCTCATTGCCTCATGACCCAAGATTTCATAAGGCCAGAAGACACCTGCAGAGTTCAAACCTGTCCTTGAGCTCCACAGCCTGGCATTCACCCTGGTGTACATTTCAGGTGCAACCGTGCATCAGCATTGGAGCTCTGAATTTGAAAATGATGAGTAAACAAGGTTGAATTATTTGCAGGGCTCCTCAGAAGTAATTATACTAGATTTGAGTCATTTACAGCAGTGGCTGAGAATTAGTGAGCTTACACACTGTGTGGAAGAGATCAGCAATCCTAGCCTAGATGACTCCAGCCACTTCCCAGCAGAGACACCTTATTAGGGAGCTCAGAGATGTGACATTATTGGAGATCTATTAATCTATTTCTTGAGTTTTTTAGGAGTCTGTTGATATTTCAACCACTAAATGTGTGAGGTTTCTTTTGCTCTATAAGATCTTGAATCTCAATAGCAGTTTTAGGACCAGAAAACATGGTATAAAAACTACTTTGACAAGATTATGTGTTTTTTATTTGCTTGTTTATGGAATTTCTTGGTCCAGGGATTTAATTTAGTCAGTAAATACAAGATGTTTTATATTCTAGACTTTTCTGAGTCATGTGGCTCCTGATACCAGTGAAAAACATGTGTCTTGGGTAACATTGCTAAAAGTACAGTAGTTGACTGACAAATGTGACTGTTCAGCTTCCTGAAAGCAATTAGGATATTTTAGAATTTGAATTGCCTCTGGTGTTGAGCTCATAAGCAGGCCTGTCATGTCTGACAGAGTGCCATACGGTTGGTGGATTTGGTCTCTGAAAGACTGCCTTTTAACTGCTGGATCACAGTTCCTCTCACTGTGAGTCACATTCACGCTGCTACACAGCAAGGTTGTTTTTTTCTTTTTTGCTGTTTTTGTTTCACTGCAAAGCACATTCATGTCATTTCTGAAATGAAAAGATTGTGCAGACAAAACGGTTTGTCTGTTTTGCCAGCTTTGATGGGTACTTTCCTTAAACAGAAACTTTTACGTGATGCCAAAATCTGAATTGATATTTATCTGAATTTTTAACTGAATGTATTGTTAAGAGTCTGAAATCATTTTTTGAACACAAAAGTAATTTATTCTGGTTTGTTTCCAATAAAGTTTAGCCTGTCCCAAAAGATGAGAGGCTTTATGAATACAAATACTTTTGTGTTTCAGGCCCGTCCTGTACCATTCACAGTCCACGCTGTTGTCACAACATCCGACTTGGAGTTTGGAAGGAAAGAGTTAGATTTTGGCCACTGTTCCATCTATGAGTCAGTCCGGACTAGTGTCCTCCTCACCAACCATTCCCTTCTCCCTCAGGATTTTGGGTTTGTCGGAATCCCAAAGGTAAGAGACCATATCTGCACAGAGACAGTTTTATAACCTAAACTAGCACTGTTCCTGGATTGCTGAGTTTTTTCATAAGAAGCTGGGTCTAATTATTGCGAACTGTAATTATCAATGTGCTGTTTGTTGAATGTACCCAGATTTTTAAATGATTACTTGCATTATCATGAAACACATGTTAATGTGTAGGTAGAGCCTTTTGAATTTGCTAGATTCAGAGCCCCATCTAGGTGAACTATAATGGTATTACAGCTACATAGACTTTTTTTCATGAGCAGAGGTTATGTAGGGATGCAAGAAGTTGCAGTGCAGTTCAGTTTAATTTTATTACAGGACACCATCCAGACAGCTAGCAAAGTGACACTATGTTCTTTCATTCCTCGGTTCTTAAAGCATAGGGACTTTCTTCATGCTTTTATACCCTAAGATAGCATGAACAGACTCCTTTGTTACCGTTCATGTTGTGTTGAGGGACACATTTTGAGAAAATGTATATTTGGAACGCAATAATAATGTTTCTGATCTCCAGAAAAGATAGACTGGCAATGCCCAGTTGTCAAATATCTCTCTTAATACTAGTTGGTTTAAACACTGTCTCAGTCTCTACAGCTTCTCCGTCTGTGCTGCATCTTAGAAAAATCCAACAATAATTATGCACGTGGACTTGAGCTTCAGGAAAACTTCTCAATGAAAAAGAAGGAACTTGAGCACAAGAAAGTTTTAAGTAATATAGTAGCATCTGAAACATGATCCTTCTTAGTTTGTTTTTATGTTATCCCCAGTTTTAAGCAACAAAAAAATCCCCTTTAATGGTCTATCTGCCATAATATTTTTTTCTTCAGTTTATTGATGTTCAGCCCAATGATGGCTTTGGCACTCTCCTTCCTTTGGAGACCTTGGAGATTGATATCATTTTCAGTCCCACAAAGGCAAGGGAATACAGTTTTGAACTCACCTGCAAATCAGGAATCAACAGGTAACAGCAGGCTACCACATTCAAGAGCAATAGCAGTTCTGTGATCACAAGCATACTTTAATTGAAATTTGGCATTCCTGTTTTATATGATGTATCCAATATGGAATTACCTAGATCCTCTTGTTAAACTCTGTCTGACGGTGTCTCCTGTACTACATGGGTGAGAATGAGGTGGATGTTCTCCTCCTAATTAACCCTAACCCTACTCTAGTGCTGCTGTACCAGTAATGTTTGTTATTTGGGTAATCCCAGCCAAAGTCAGTGAGTGACTAGAAATAATTTTTATAGTTCAATTTTTCTTTATTGATTCAATGCCTAATTAGTGTGGGCAATTAGTGATTACCTCCTGTTTGCATTCAAATATGTTGATGAGATACTTGAAGGTAAAGGTATTGGTGGAATACCTTTACTCATATATGTTCATTTTAATAACCTGTACAGCTGCTGAAAAGTGTGCACTGCTTTTTTGGGGGAAAAGAATAATGTTTTACACCTCAATACCTCACTTCTCTAATTTTTGCCATGATTTTTCTGTACATTCTTCATGGTTTAGAAGTACAATATATCAGAAAAGTTAGAAAAAATTACATCAACTTGGCCTGCATCTACATTTTTTTGGCAGTGAAAATGTTAGCAACATTCCATACAGTATGTCTTTTAACAGTTGCCCCCTTTTTGTTTTACATTTAGAGACTTCAAACTGTCCTGCAGAGCAGTGGGTGTGCACCCTCCTCTGGAGCTGTCGCACTCTCTAGTGCAATTTGGTGCTACAGCAGTGAATGACATGTCCACTGCCACTCTGTATGTGGTGAATTCTCACACCAGCAGCAATGAGTTCACACACCCTGTGCCAAGAATAGGCAGAGGGGAGATTGCACCTGTGGGACCAACGTCGTTTGAGTTCATCAATCCAGATAACTCGGACATCACCATCACCCCAGAAGTAGGAACAGTGATGCCAGGAAAGGTAGAGTACATCACTTCCTAAACAGTGACAGCCAAGGCTCATCACGCAAAGCATGATGCAACCTGTTTTAAAAGCAAAGTCAGGAAAAATCGACCGCCTGTGTCTGATCTCATTTAGAGAAAGCTCTGCTCAAACGGTAAGGTGCACTGGAAAAACATCTCAGCTACAATGGCCACATTACTACCTGAAAAGGAACAGAACATACTACAAGTAGGTAGCTGCTGTGATTGACACCCAAAAAAGGCTCCACAGTCGAAATGTTGTGTTTCTTTTCTTCTCTTTTCACCATGGAATAAACCTTTACTTGTTCCCTAGAAGATAGTCCGACATGTTGCAAATATAACCGGATTGCACTGATTTCCCATACCTGATTCTGGCCATGTGTGTGTGTTTGTGCCTGCAGAGATGTTTAGTCCAGGTGTCCTTCAGGCCCAGTATCTCCGATGAGGCCATCAGGGAGGAGGCTGTCCGCTTACTGTGTCGCGCAGAGGAGTTACGGGTGCAGGAACTAGAAACGGAAAAGGAGGCAGCCAGTGCCAAAAGAGCAGAGCTGGAGGTAATAGTAGGCTTTGAATTCTCTGTATGCAGGGCATTTTACTGTCTGTTCCATCTACAAATCGGGTCCAGATGACTGGAGGTACAAGACAACACAGAGACAGGCTAGATTAAATGTGTGACTGATGAGGTGTGTGAAAGCACAAGAGCCCTAGCCTTAGGGTTCTTAAAGGGGGAACTGCAAGGCTCTTTTTGTATTTCAGGGTTAGAAAAAATTTGCGTTGATGAGCGCATTTCAAACCACCATGAAAGTAAAATGTACGCAGTAATGTGGACAAACCTCCAATTCAGATCACAAAATAGATTACATTTCCAGGTACGCACAACCCGGCATTGCTGTTATTATCTGCGGTTCAGACCAAGGCAACAAAACGTCCGGTGACTTAAAGTGACCCTGTTACTGTATATTGTAAATAAGCAGGGCTGTGAATATAGCTCTTTTAATCCAATAGAGATATTGCTCTGAACTCCGAGACGGCTTTGCCGACAGATACTACTCACTTGTTAACTCTGCATGCAGATCATGTTGAAAAGTCTGCTGCACAACCTGTGCTTACGCACTCATACACTGCAGTACGTTAGTCATGGCAGTGACTAGTGAGCAGGAAGGGCCGCCTCACGTCGCAATTCTCGCAAATTCTCTCTCTCGCCCGTGGCGAGACCAGGGCTGTGCAACATCATAACGACTATACCATGCTTTCACACAGTTCACAATTTTGTGCTTAATCGGGAATTTTGTAATACCGTGTTTTTTTTTTTCGTTAATAACCGGTCTGAGAAATAGGGACTGAAGTTACCCTTTAACTAGATTTTAATAAACATCTTGTACCCCCTACTGATTTCAGTCAAGACCTGTGTTTTCCACAGTTCCAGTTTCGGTGAAGTTTTTTATAATTGTTTATAATTTGTGTGATCTTACATTAAAAGTATTGTACATTTCTAGAATTACTGCAGAAAACTTTGAAAATATATTCCATGCATAATGGTATTAGGCATTAAATGATCTATATTAATTTTCCATTGGGATTAGCTCCTGTGATATTGGCAATCAGACCTAAAAGGATGTAGAGTTCAAGGGATATCATAACAGCATGTTGCAAGATGTGGAGTCTGGAGATTTTAAAACGTCGGACATCTGCTGGGGATAAGTTATGCCTAAAAAAGCTTAATTACGTTATCTTATTTTCTTAAAACCTTGTTCAGAGTAAAAAAGAAGCTCAGTCAGAACTGAAAAGGGGGAAGAAGCAGCCAAACCCAGCTTCTGCCAAAACAGCAGTGAAAGAGAAGTGCAGCAAAGTGTCAGTGTCCCCCAAAATCTGCAGCCCCTTTGAGCCCCCCAACCCAAGAGATATCCATCCAGAGTAAGTATGCCGTGCGCCTGGCTGGTAGTCATGGTATTCTTCCATAATTATCTCTTGTCCTCTGAAGAAATAATGTGATAACAGATTTATACTTTGTTTTGTCATTAGCTTTCTGCTGTGCGTAATTGCTGATGACAGTGCTCCTTGTCATCAGCAGTAATGCTGTGCATCAGCAATTGCCTTGTCAACAGAGAAGTAGTGCGTCTGACTACAATGTTGCTTACTTTCCCAGATTTGGAACAGATTGGGTGAGATCTGTACATTCTAGGCCTAAAATATAAGGCGCAATATAATTATAAAACCCTTCCTCATCTGTCTTTGCAGGCTAAATTAAGCTTGATTAAGAGTACCACGTTCTTAATTAGAGCAAGAAATATGTATAGTATATTTTGGAAGTAGACTGTTAATCAAGTATTTAGGAAGTGGCCATGTTTAATGTAAGATATTCTGATTGGGCTGCTATGTACAGATATAAATACCTACACACATAATTAGAATACATAATAAAGTTACTTTTCACTTCTGAGATTCAGGTTTTTAGGTACTGGTATGTTGATCTGTGATAAGATTTTCTTTGTTTTAGGTCAGAGACCTTTGCTGCTGCTAAGGCTTCCCTGCTCCGTTCTTTCGCAGACTGTTTTAAGAGCTACACCGTCCCCTGCTTTGTAGCTAGTGGCGAAACTACAGACGGCAAAAACCCAGAACATCTGCAATACAGGTAGAGCTGTCTCTCCAATATCTTGTTTCTCAGAACCCCGAAGAATCTCCCAGTCTTTTTTCCTTCAGCAGTCAAATGAGAGCAGATATTTGAATGGAAAATGATCATTTCCTATAAATGTCCAAATATCTGTTTTTAAAGGGTTTATCAGTGCCATTCCTCTTATGCTAGTTCAGCCTTCTATTATCCTTAAAGCACATGATAGTATTATTCTAATTGTGTAGTTCTAGTTGGCAGCTGCGTCAGCATGCGTAGGCTGCAGAGGAACAAGTAAAGGTTTATTCCAAGCTGAAAAGAGAAGAAAAGAAACATGTTTTGGCGGTGGAGACTTCTTTGGCTGCGAAGGCTCGAAGAAGCCTCCACAGCCGAAATGTTATGTTTTCAAAATGGAATAAACCTTTGCTTGTTCCTTGTTCCTGTGTTAAATGTGCCAGAGGTTACTGTGTACTGTTAGAGCTCTCTGACCTGTCACTCTGCCCAATAGTCCTCACAACACTCTGTACCTGGAACTGCACTGCCCCATAGTGAGGCCCCCTCTAGTGGTTGTGTCGGACAATGGCAGGACGTCTGTGAACTTCAATGAGGTGGCAACAGGTCAGAACATACGGATATTTTTGATGATGCCATTGTTTTAAACAGAAATTAGAGTATTATATACAGGTACTGTACACAGTTTCCCCTAATTCCGTCTTTAGTTTTGTCACGCCTATCAAAAATGTGTTAAGATGTAATTTAAGAGGACAAATACTGCAATAACAAAACAGTGGACTATTCAGTTTTAAATGTTTAAACCAATTTAGTCGGGATAAATCTTACTAGTTCTAGATCTAAGTATCTATTAAAACAGTTCTGAGGGTGATCGGAAAACTGACTGAATGTCAATTAACTCTTAAGCTGAAAACAAGGCTTTCCACATCTATAGCGTAGAAAAACTTCAAATGGCCACAGTTTACACACATCAGAAATTTAAGGGGTGGTTCAGTATTTCTCCTGTGCCCTGTATCTGGATCTGATTCATTCATTTGTTGTTCTATCTTGTTTTTTTTCTCTAAAGGCCAGAAAGTAGTACGCAGGGTTACAATACAGAACATTTCTCAAGACTCTCTGGATGTATCCTTTGTTGTCAGCTCACAGGAGAGCTGTGCCTGGAGAAGGAGGTCTCTTTGTCCTGTGCATGGAAAGGGCTTCAGGGCTGCAGAAGTCACGCGAGTCACACTCCTGGATTTTTTAACTGGCACTTGGCTTGTGATAAGATAAAGCAGATTGGGAATGATGATGGCAATTGTGTCTTCACAAACTTTTTTTAAATAAGGAGGGTAGCACAGATTTTAAATGGGACTGAGCACTGTCAAGCACTGACTGTAGCTACTGATGAAACCTTGTTGTCATATGGTATAACTGATAAGCTGAATTTATCAGGTAATGGACTTCTTTCTGAGGGCCATATCCATGTTCTTGCAGCGTAGGCTCACCATTAGGTTGTGTTGAACCAGATAATGTCAAGTCTGGCTTTATGCTTCTTCCCTTCTACAGTGTTTGCTCAACAAAGTAGCCGAAAGGGCATTGTTATGTTATTGAAGGCAGCTATTAATCGTGATTGGTAATATTTCATGCTGTAATAGCAATAGATTAATATAATATAAAGAATTATTAATAGAGTTATTGTCCTTAACCAGTTGTTTTATCAGTTGAGTTCATCACTTCTTGATCCCAATGGGCCCTTTCTGCTTTTGAACGCACTTAGGCATCTCGAACCTGGAGCCATGCATACCCTCCTCATCTCTTTCAGTCCTGCTCAAGGCAAAAAGGTATGTTATGCTCTGCATTATGCATTGTAAAGGAAACCAAGCACTTTGTTTTTCATTTAAGGTGCGCAGTGAAAGCAAGGCCATAAAGTTTTACACACAGTTACTGCTCTCCGAATATCTAGTTGCTGCTATGTTTAAAAAATCCAGTATCATTCTTATACACAGGAGGCTGAGACACTGAGGAAGAAGCTAAATGAAAGGCTTTATGTTGTAAAGCTCTTCTGAGCTGGGAGGGCAGGAACATAGAGAAAAGAGGAGAACTGAGCAGTAGATTTGACAGGAGTTAGTAACAGCCGCTTTATCTCTGCAGTGGATTGGTCTTATAATACAGAACCAAAGCACTCAAAGAACTGAGTGGGTAAAGCCTTCTAAAATTTCAAATCACTTTGTTTCATGATTTTCATTTCATGGGAGCTTCAGAGGTTTTTCAGTATTTAAAAAAGGGTTTTTTGACAAGCCGAAGCTGCAATTCCAATTAGAATTAATGGAAATTATTGCCCACATTTATTGATGTATGGTATTCATTATTAAATTAATCACAATAAATTCTTCAAATGTCAGACTGCGGTGCTTCCTACATTTTAAGACCCTTCATAAGTGTTACTTTTTCAGTACTATGAGACCCTGCAGATCCAAACTAAGAAGATGACCCTTCGTCTAAACCTCTGCGGTATCGGATTACAACCCACTATCAACTGCTCCGTTGAAGGAGGACTCATCAGCTTTGGATATGTGTTAGAGAAGGAGAGTGCTACCCAGATGTTTAAGGTATCAACAGTCATTTAAATGACAGTTTATTGTTTTACTTTCAGTTTATTGTCATAGTAACAGAAAAAGGCATTGTTTTCAAAATGAGCAGAATGTGAAGTACAGACAGATGAACCATTGAATTAATACTTCCTTGTTTTTTTAATAACAATGCTATTGTATATAACTGTTGTGTTTGTCCCCATTGTATTTTAGCCGTGTATCATTGCTCTGTTTTTCATCTTAGGTTTTTGCCAGTGTTTCCTTCACAAATCTGTGTATTGATATTTATTAACAAAACAATTTTAATTCAGAAGCAGCAATGTCATCTGTTAGTGGCAGAATGGATTCTTTGGAGCTTGTGAAATTCAAGTAAGGGAGGGCAGCAGTTCATTTCCAGTCATCATTAGCTGAGCCAAACAGTCCTTTCCATTGTCCTGTCCGAGACAGAACAGAAGACATCTGAAATAAAATCAAATCGTAGATAAGTACATAAGAACAGTTACAAATGAGAAGAGAACGTAAGCCCATCTAGGCCGATTGGTAGTAGTTAATTGATCCAAAGATTCATATGTTTCTTGAAACCAGGGTATCAACTACAACAACATGACTGGGGTGTTTGTTCTGTACTCCCAGAATGCTCTGAGTGAAGACGTGCCTCCTTTGCTCGGTTTGAAATGCGCTTCCCTGTAGTTTCCACTTGAACCCTCTCATTCATGTTTCACTGCTTATTCTTAAGACTTATGCTGGGATGACTTTGTTAGTGCCTTTTAGGATTCTGCATGTTTATATCAGGTCAAATTGTAGGCTATCTGTCTAAATATAGTTTGACCCATTTAAATCACACTGTAACTTTTGTTTTATTTAGCTGCACAACACCTCTTCCCTCCTGGTGCACTACAGTCTTAAGCTGGAGAGCTTGTCAAATTTCACTCATGAAGGTCTCCCACCATTCCTCGCATCAGGCTTGCAGTCCCAGGCTCCTGTGGGTAAGATTTCCTGGTTCAGTCAGCAGTGGCATCTGTCTATCCATTTGGCTAGCTAGGTAGCAAAATGGTTTTATCATTTTTCTATACAACTTTCAACATAATTCTTGAATTTAGAAATAATTTGTTTCAAAGTAATTTACTTTATTATTGAAAAATAAATCATTATATGAGATGCGAATCCTTAATGTGACTTCTTTCAGCTCACTGTGGGTACTGATCAGCATTGTTAATGATAAATCTACTTAAAACGATAAAGTGAAGAAAATTGAGATATACAGAACGGAATTTTTAAATTCACACCCTAATGTAGGGTTAGGTACCAAAATTTAAACAGGATTTTTTTAATATCCATGAATTAGAATATCTCTTATTTCAAACATACTGTATGCCAGAAAACAGTGTAATTCCTGATGCTGCATTAAGGCAATGATAAATGTGGAAGCTGAGTTAATGCCATTTCCCTCCCAAATTATTAGGTACTCAGAACTACAGTGGCCTCAGCGTGTTCAGCGTGTCGCCCATAGAAGGCGCTATTTCCCCAGGGAAGAGCCAAGATATCACTGTGACTTTCCAACCTGACCACGAGAGCCTCTATTACTCAGACAGGCTGAAGGTGGAGCTCATGAACAAGGTAACAGTGTTTATGCTGTGTCTTTCATTCCCCTGTTATTCATACCCCACCTTCCTTAATTTCAGTGTATGATGTTATTTCTACCAGATCTTTAATAATTCATTGCAGATGAGTATTAGTCGCTTAAATAATTTAAAACAATTAAAAAGCTAGTAATAATGAAAAAGATAGTTCTCAAGTAGGAGAGAATGGAATGAGCAAATGTTAAGCACTCTTTTATATTAGTGCAGAAAAAAGTTGGAATGAATAAGGATAAAATAATTTAATGTGTCTTTTCATGAGGTTTCCTTTTTTAGAGTTGACAGTTCTTATTTTGTGACATAACATTCAGAAGTTACTCTATTTCTTCATGTTTTAAAAGGATAATGGTGTTAGAAACTAAATGCTTGAACTTTGTGTGTTGGTGTCACAGTTCTTCTGTATTTTATTATTTCATTTTCATTATGATGGCTTTTTTTCACTTAATTTGGAACAGAAACTAATCCTAGTGTCAAAATGATGTGCTTACACAGGTGAGAATAATGTCACTGTGCTGACAGTAATACATATTAGTGTGAGTATACTAAGTGATAACAAGGTATGAAGGAAAGTTTATGAATTGAATATAATTGTTCATTATCTAGGTGCCTTGAGGATAGTATAACCAGGTTTCTTCAGGAACTGTTAGAGTGAAAGCAGTGTACGTTTTAAAAAGGCAGTCAGGGTTTACAATTAAAAAGATCCATGGGCATGTAATCCAGAGACCCTGATCTAATCTATTCTAGCCTGTATCTTGAAGTTCACAGCTAAAAATCTAAACTACTTTATTGTTTTTTATGGGTTGATCTTGATTCTGTCAGCAAAGGCTAACTTTCATGTAGACAAATAAAAATATTTTCCTGATCCCACTGTCAGTGGCCAGTAGCTGGATGTATTGTCACTCTCACCCTCATCGTCCCTTGCATAACTCTCTTGGGCTTCTGAGTAAACAAGGTCAACACAGGTCTTAAGATTAAAAACAACTGTGTGTGGGAATTGAATCACCCATGTCACGGCTTCACATGTTGTAAGTGTTTCAGGTATCTCTTAAAATAGCAGGTTCACCACAAGGTCATATCTCTTGTCTGCCCATCATCGGGTGGCATTTATCTACTCTTAGTCTTACACTTGGGGTCAACAAATCAACAAAATATTTTGAATCCACGTTAATTCTATCAGCAGAGCAGTTATTCTGCCATTGCCTGGACTCTCAATGCTACGATCATGCAGACATAGTTAACGTATTAACTAGTAGTCTGTACTTTTTAGATAACTTATTTTGAGAATACACACCGCAAATTAACAGGAAAATGTGTTTTAATATTTGGTGTTTAGAAGTTCAGAAGAACATTATTTAATGAATCCATATAAGTGTCGATTTAAATTGATACAAAATCTTATTGCTTTTGTTTTAACGGTCATGAGATGCCGGAAAGCAGGGACTTCACAAATCAAACCTCCTTATTGGAAACTTAATAGTGTCAGCAGTGCATCTGTTATTCCACAATAGTGTGCAAAAGTCCCAAGAGTTTGACACACTTGGGAAAACTCCACACACAGCAAAAGAAGGCTGTGTGCCATCTTTCATAGTTTATAGTTTACCCTGACTTTTGCTGTGCTGACAGTATAATTTGCTACCACACACAAGCTATTTTAAAAGTTCCGTTTGATTACATAAGGTGCACCAACTTTCATCATTCAAAATCATCCTGCATGAACAGTGAAATGGTCATTTTTCAGGAGGAAAACTCATAATATCAACTTGTCACGACTAAAAGTATACCTAGCATAAATCTGTGGTCGTTATAATTGAACTATTTATAAAAGAAGGGTTACCAATTCAAACTTACCAGTGCACGGCTCCAGGTGTTCTTTTTAAAGTTTGCAGCTTTAAAGTGTCCAGTTTTGGATAGTAACACACAATGAGGCCTCAAGGTGACAAAGTCATGCATTAACTTTAACTCTACCCTAAGTAATCCAGAGACATACCCCACATCACAGAATGGCAGTGCATACAAAACTCCCCAGCCTGTCTTAGCTAGCTGTGCTTTCTGATGGAAGAAAAGGTGGATGGTCTGTGTTTTTTTTTTCTATTTTTTTGGACGGTTTCTTCTTTTTCAGCAAACAGTGCAGGAGGTGCAGCTGAAGGGAGCAGCAAGGAGGCACACTATGTATGTAAGTGGAGGAGACCCCCTGGATGTCCCTGTAGAATCCCTGGCTTTTCTTCCCCCAGATGAAGAAAGCACAGGTTAGTCTCATAGGGGTGTATTAAAAGACAATAACGTTCTTCAGTATAGAGTAAAAGGGTCATGAGCAGTGCAGTTTTTCTCAAACAGTTCGGTTAATTACCTTTGCTTTTTATACACCCATTTTCGATCTGTTCATTAGATTTTATCACACCATTACGGCCTCAGTTATTTTTGGTTTAATGGGTGTTAATTTCTGTTACTTTTATTGGACAAGACAAATTCAGACTACAAGACTACATGGTGTGTGGGTTCTACTCTCCACTTGCAGAGCTTGAGAGACCGCCCCTGCCTGTACTCCTGACCCTGAAGAGTGTCTACAGTGAGAGCACAGTGCCCCCAGCAGTCCGTGAGCTGGAAGTGGGATGTATTCGGAGCACCCAACCCATGGTGAAGAAGGTAGCTTCTCAAATTTTCCAGCTTGATCACAGTCACAGCAGCCATAATCTTAAATGTTTCATTGTCAGCTCCTTGCAAAAGTGTTTAAAACTAGATGGAAATGCACAGCAACGAGATAGGATTCCTTTGGCTGTTTTGTTTGAAAGATATTTATATTTTTGGATAATTTGTAGATGCTAACAGTCAAATTGGATGCAATTCTTCTTGGATTAATATGGTTTAAATACAAAACCGTCATAAATCATTATTTGGGATTGCATCACTGCTAAATTAATTATTCCCTCTTTAATGCTGAGGTATGGATGTTTTTTAATCAGAAACCATGTGTATTTGAGGATTATAATTATTATCTGTAGGTAAACAGCAACCTGAGAGTTTTCTTTTTTGTGTGTATTCTGTGCGCTTAAGCAAAGAGCTGATTCATTGGCAATACTTTTTTTTCCTGCTGCTGTGTAAACATTTTAGTGGATTATTACTCTGGGTATGAGATTGGAAGTGTGGGTTTGTCTCATAAGGAGCTTATTGTTCACTGTCCAATCACTCTGCCTCAACAGAATGTGGAATTTGCTTTGGATAATCTTCCAGTCCTCCAGCAGAAGGGCTTCAGCGTGGATCCAGTAAAGGGAACAGTGGAGCCAGGACAGAAGAAAACCATAACTGTAACATGGGCGCCTCACAGTGGTCAGAATGTGAGTGTACAAACTACTGTATAGCTGAAATTCAGATTGTGGTCTGAAAAACAAAAGTTGTTATTGAAAATATGAAATTAAAAATGTTTTGATAACTTTCAGACCTGAAGAATCCATGTTTTTATTGTAATTCTGGTGTTTGTATTGTTGTGAATTGTTTTTAACGATTCACATTGATAAGACTTTCTTTGCTTCATTTTTCTCTTGCAGCTGACTCAGCCACTCTGTGTCTCAGTGCCACTGACTGTGAAAGGAGATGTAACCGAGATCTACAATGTCACCCTTTTGGCCCTTGTAGTGAGAGCACCTGAGTCAGGCTCTGAAAGATAAGAGCAGTGTTTGTACAGTAGCATTCAATTTGCTTCCCATTTGCAAAGATATAATAATAATGCCTATAGAGAGATAATCTGCATATCTAAGTACGTGCAAAAAAGAAAAATGCATTTTCTAGATGGGATTCATAAAAATGAATAACTGGAGAAACATTTCAGAAGTATGAATTGGGACATCACTTCTTTCAGGTTCACCAATGTGCATAAAACGTGTTAAAAAGCATCATACTTTCTTAATAAAAGTGCTTATTTTACCCCATATTTTAAAAAGCAAAGAAATGCTCTGTGTTTTTCTTCATTCATATTCATACACTTGAAACGTTCCTTCTTTAAAACGCATTCAGTTAAGGTACTCAATAAGGTTAAGAGTCCAGGTTAACACCAGAATACATTCAGACATCAGATTGCAGTAACCATTCTTGTACATCATTGCTCCTGCAGCAATAACCTCTTGTTTCCTCATTAAATAGAAATGACTGTTTTTGGCCTTGCATTTTAGTGCCTTAGATACAGCTAATAGCTTGTGTTTACAGTGCAAATTATCCTGTTAAGACTTCTCCCACAACCCATGATCAGATGGGAATGAATAAGCCATCCCTTCCTTGTGGGAAGCATCCACATATCCATATTGATTGGCAGATAAAGAGATAATGAACGGAGCAAAGAAATAATGTTTTTGTGCGTTGATAGGGTGGTCAGCACTGCTGCCTCACGTCCCTGCGGTTCTGGGTTTGATACTGGACAATGTGGAATCTGCATGTCCTCTCCTTGCTTTTGTGGGTTATCTTTGGGTGCTCTGGTTTGCTTGTGTGTTCACTGGTGTCTCTACATTTTTCCTGTGTGCATGTGCCCTCTGGTGAAATAGGTGAAGTCCCACCTTGTGTGCTGTGCTTCTGGGATGGGCTCCAGGCTTACCAGGGATAAGAAGTATTCTGACAGCAGAGGTCTTTGTTTCGTTGTGTAATGGAAGAGTGTGTTCTTTAACACGGGAAGCGTCAAAACCTCTTTACACAGAGGTGAGACAGAGTACATTTCACTTGCGCTGAGAATGACTTAGAACGTCCACACCCACTTCCAGATTGAAACCTGCCTTTCACGTGAAAATGGAAACATTATCTTGGGCTACATGAGTAGGCTTGGGAACATGGCTGGAAACAATCTAACTCCAATCTCAGTTTTGCGTGTCTCTTGCGTCCTCAGCCACGATGATCCGTAAATATTTGGGTTGGGCCCTTTAATTTTATGCCTGCAGGTTAAGTATATATTTGATCTTTCATTCAAAATGTTATAGGATTTATCAGTAGAGATATTATTCACTTCTAAAGATACAGTATTTGCTGCTCTCCCAATGATGTTTAAAAACCGTCTGGGCAGGCGCAGTAACATTTTTAAGTGATCAGACATGAGATTTATAGTCCAGCTTTATTACACTGACTTAACATCTATCAGCAGCTAAATTTTAGGGTGTTCTTCTTGTACTTTAAAGTGTTCGCTCAAACACAGCGCGACTTGATACAGTAGGAATTTCTGTTTGTATTCTCTTATGTGCATGTTCTCTGTGCATAGAAGCTTTACACTCTCCACATAGACATGTGACATGCGTGACCATATTGGTGATGTCAGCTGGAGAGAGGGTCTTCCAGGGCTAAAGAAGGTAAAACTCAACAAGGTCGAAGACCATGTTTCATTGGGCTCAAGCAACATGGCTTGAGTAAAATTAAAATTCACATGGCCATCTTATTACCTGTGTGTAGCTGGCTGTCAGAAAACCTGTCCTCCTGTCTCATTCACCTGCAGGTATACTTTCATTAGTTGTATTGGGAACCCCGGCGGGGACTCAACTTCTAAGTGAAAAGTGCAGTTTGAAGAATAAATATTGACAGCTGTTCTTTGGTTGGTTTGGCACACGCAGTATCTGAAACAAAAACAGTAGTTCATTGCTCTTAGGAGAAGTCCTGCATCTTTCACACAGTGGAAAAACCTGTATTAGAACAGTGCTTCTCAACCTGGAGGGATAGGAAATCCACTGTCTTCGACTAAAAATTGCTTAGATCTGTTGCTGGATAAATATTCTTAGGTTTTTATATGTTTAGGGCGATCACAGACACCTTTCTTGTGAGCTTATTTTCTTCTTTAAAAGAGGACGTATTAACGTTATTTTGAACTAACAGCAGGACGACCTGCTGAATGTGAAAAGCTAGCCTCCAGAACTGCTGCTGTACTGGCTTGTATGATGAGTGACAATAGCAGTGAAGCTCTCAGGTGGAAGCTATGCAGAATCACATAAGCTTGAATGATCCATGTAAAATGTCCTCTGGCCCTTAGTTCAAAATAACAAATGGTTAGAGCAGACCAAGGATTTCCTGTTCAACTGCTTTGGGTCATTTGTGTATACAGTAGATGTCAGATGTCTTGGAATAATTGGGGAGAAGATCACATTCAGGTTGTTCAGGCAAAGGTGCTGCACATTTGCCTTATTGTTGCCTGCAACATGTTTTCAAGTGCAGAGCCTATTGCTCTACGCAAACCAGTCACACGAAGGATTTCCATTCACCCATAATGTTTACACATCTCTAGTATCCTTTTCACTTTGTTTTGGAAAAATGTGTGTACAATTAAGGCAGTAGGATGTGTCATCCTTCAGCAGGTCACTGGTAAAAACCGGAAAGCATTTAAAAAGCCCCATTTACAAGGAAAGTCTGATAAAAACTGAATGAAGGAGGATTTATAAAATTTTCCGTAATATGAAACCCAGATCAGCGATTACTCGTACTGTTTTGTTGCAGGTCTTTGGGATTCAAGCTGCTTTAGTCTAAGGCTGGAACGCTCTGAATGGTTCTCAGTGCTTAGACATGGTCTCTCAATGCAAGTCTATGCATCCCTGTCCTGGATATTCTGACAACACCTTTTATCTATGTATCTAGGCCTGTGAACAGGTGTAAATAGAGTACTTTTGCAAGCAGAACAGCTATTTCAACTCACCTTAAGTTCACCTCTCCCTGTACACTAGGGAAAAGGAGAGTGGATAGTCTTGGCCTCAATGTCACTAAGTCACTTCTACCTGCACATTATTGCCTCTTAAGATAAGGTAGGAAAATTACATTAACTATTCTTGCCTTAGGATCCATGGCTGATGCAGTATCAGGAATGCTATGCTTTTTTTTTTTTTGCAAACAAAGTCTGCCCTGGGACTCATTTCTCAAATATGTATATAAATCTTTCATGCAGTATCTGAAGTGTGCGCACATGTGATCAAGGTGTCCATTATAAATGCTAAAATGTTTATTTGGTTTTATGTGCTTAACCATCTGATAACACTAGGATAATTTAGCGTTCTGGCACCATAGATATTCTCTTGCAACCCATTATAACGAACCTCAGGGGGCAGTAAGAATCATCTTAATATTATGGTTAATTATATAACTGATCAAGGCTAGCATAATTGGCGCTTTTGTGGTCGGGACTCATAACAGCAATTTCATCTGGACTGTCTTTCTAGATATGTAATGTGTTACGGATAAACAAACACTTGCTTAAGTAACATATAATGAGATAGAAATAAAACAGTACTTTTCATAAATACATAAATTCACTGTTCAATCAGTTTAGTCAAACATGAACTCCTTTGTATCTGCTCTGGGGCTGTATATATAGGTGCCTTTGATCAATCATTACATTACAAAAAAAAACAGCAAGCCTTCAGCTTAGGACTTGGCAAATGTGTATAACATGGTGAATCCTGTATAGATTTCAGGCTCTGGCCACGTTCTGTTCTTTTTAGGAAAAAATAAATGTTTTGACTTTCCAAACATTTAATAACTAGGATCCTAAATCCTGGTTCTTAGAGGCGTTTTGGGTTTTGGGGTTCCCTTTAAATCAGCAGTTGATTCAACTTAAGCTGGGCTTTTCATGTATGGCTGAGGCTATTCCCGATTTAAACAGAAAACCCTCTGAGCTGCCTACCCACAAATATAAATGTTATTAACTAATGCAATATCTGCTGTAAGCATTAATTACAAAGAAAGTCGTGAAAGATGTTTCAGGACGTTTTCTACAATGTCATTGTGGTGAAACTGACACTTTTCCAAAGAAAGCTTTTTTTTTCTTGCCTGTCCCTTAGTCTTATTATCTACTGTCAAGACAGGTACCGTTTGTCTCTTTCTCATACCTGGAGTGCAGTTAAACAAAAACCCAACCAATTTAAAAACAACAAAAACTAAACATCCTTTGGTATATCTCTTGATGTTAAAAGCTACTGTATTTTTTACACTCCCCTTACGTGGCCTGAATTAGAAAGGTTTTAGCAGGGTTCAGGGTTTTAGTAGGATTTGGTTCTGTGTCTCATTCATGGATCAATATTGCTTTTTCCACCATGAGAAAAGGTCAATTCCTAAAACCTGTAAGCTTCTAAAATGTAGCATTCTTTAAACCATGACATCCACTGCCCGGGATTTGTGTTATTTGAAGAGTTTGAGAAACTTGCACAAAAGGGTCATCTACTGTTTAAAGAGGAAATGGCCTTGCATTAAGAAAACCAGACATTAAGGCAAGACCTGCTGTTTCTGAGTGGAACAAGTCCCAACTGGGAGCTAGTTGGGCTCTGCAGCTGAATACTTGGGGGTTCCTCAGCTCCTGTTTCGTCTTCAAACTTATAAAATCCCTAGGAAAGTGCCTGTCATTGCTAGATGACCTTTTCATATCTTACGGTATTAACCCCAACTCAATGGTTATTGTTAATTACAACATCACAGGTTTTCTGAATTTTCCCAAGGACTTTACAAAGCTCATTAACTTGGTGTTCCTGTGTAAGATTTCTTTCATCTCCTCTTTCCCTATCTGTTCTTGTATAAGTAAGTCTTTTCAAGGCATGTGATGGGGCAAATGTCAGAGTTTGTCAAAAGCCATATCTGGACTTTATGCTTGCATGAAAGAACTCGGCTTTCCACTGCATTTGTTAATAGGATCAGTGTATAAATCTATCTTATTTATATCTTATATATTATCTTGTTTTTTTTTCCCCAGTCTGTCATGCTATTCTCCATGTGGAAATTCAGCCATAGATTTGATAATAATTCTAAAAGTGAAGTTAAGCTTTACCCTACAGATTATCACCATATTTAATTTGTATTTTTTTTACAAAGACAAAACACAGAAGATTGAGATAAATGAAATTATTTTATTTACTACTCCATTGCCATGTCATAATTAATAGTTAATTAATAGAAACATGAATATGTATTTATTTAAAAATCTCACATG